TGGAAGACACGCTTCACCCCATGTTCTAGGCGGAGACAGGCCCACAGAGGCTGCAGGACATGCCTCCAGGTCCCCATGAGTGGGAGGGGACCCAGAGTCGGAGAGGCCTGGGTTTGTCCGGCCCCTGCCTGGGTGTGTGACCCCTGGCTTTTGTGTGTCTTGGCCTTGTTTTTCTCCCCGTGCCGTGGGCTCATACCACCTGAGCCCGTGGTCTCCCTGGCCATCAGCGAGGCCGACAGCACCCGGCACAGAGTGGGTGGACGCCCCCGAGTAAGCGGCTCGGCAGTCAGGATGGCACACGGAACCTGACTTCTGTGCGCTCCCACCCCGGGGGCCCAGCCTGCCCAGGACGCCCCTCGTTCTCCCGGCTCCTCCAATGATTCACGGCCACCCCGCACTCTCCACCTGGCCTGGCTGGACACAGGGCCCGGCCCCCCACGTGGCTGTCCTCTACGAAGCCCAGAGGTCTGATGTGGAATGCGGAGGGATGGGGCACGGACAGCTACAGTCACGCTGGGCTGTGTTTTCCTTCGTCTTTATAAATACCCACAACCACATTTGCAAGTCTCTGTGTTTCTTCCAGGGATAATTTACTTGCCTGATGTCTCTGCCATCTGTTACCGCTGCGGTCTGCGCGGTCCCCGTCCCCTGCAGGTGGCCAGCTCCCCGGGGGGCCACCTGTCCAGGAGGCGACAGGGCTCTGGATGCTGAAATAAATACCGATGTGCGAAGTAGCCAGCCGGGCAGGTCGGTGGGGTCGCTGCCGCCTTCCTGCTCCCTGGGAAGGCGTTCCTCCTGCTGGTGACTCAGGGACCGGGGGGGGGGGGGGGGGGGGTGGCGGCTGCAGCCAGGCCAGGACACCCAGCTGCTGGGGGCTCCTTCAGGAAAAGCTGCCTCTCTTCCGGAAGGCAGGAAGCCAGCTTCCAGAGGGAGCGCCCTCCTGTACGATGCACTTTGGGCATAACGGGTCCCCGGCTCCCATCTCCTTGTTGTCCGACCCCGGCTCCCCAGACCACTGAGATCAGGCGCCCGAAGCTCCTGGGCTCCTGTGGCCCCCCGGCCATTTTCTCAGGCGCCTGGAGGGGAGGCAAGGCAGGTAACAGCCGAGGAGAGCTGTGGTTAGGTGTGGCTCGCATGGCTCCTCAAGTCTCTCTGGAAGCAGCAGGAGGTGGGAGAGGCCTGGCCGCCCCCCTGCAACTTTGCTCCAGGTTGTGCTGAAGGCAAGGCTCCCACACGTACAGACACGGGTTAAGCAAACACTCTGATGAGCAGGCACATCTGTGTGTGTCCACAGCTCCGCGACGTCCTGCCTGCACCCTGGGGACCTCCCACCACCAGTGCGCCTGGAAGGCTTACTCGAGGGAAGCAGGTCAAGCTGACGGGCCTGGTCCAGGAGGTCTTGGGGAACCAGAAATCCTCCGAATCTGCATCTGGACACAGGACCATTCAGAGGCTTGTGGCTTCTGTTCCAGTCTTGGATCCTGTCCACTTGAGGGCAGGATGACACCACGAAGTTTGAGCCAATTGACGTATCTTGAATACCTTTAATGTCACCAACAAATGCCCGTTTCTCCCATTCGTCATGCTTAGGGAAAAGCTGATATTTCATCAGGGGTTTTTCCCCTGATATCATCCCCACAAATGAGCGTGGCTTGGGCACCAATGGAGACAGGGTGGCTGACGTCTTCGGGGCAGCTGCGTTCCTAATGTCCGCACTGCCCACCCCTGGGATGGGAGTCTCAGGGGCAACAAAGATTGTTCCGGAGTGGAACGCCAGCTCCCCGGGACACATGCTCTTCATCCAGAAGACTGGGCCTCCAGAGCCCCAGACCCTGCGGGGGATCCTCCTGCGTGTCCAGGGCTCGCACTGGCACAGTTGGAGGCCATTGCCTGGGCCACAAGGCCATCCAGCCAGCCTTACCAGGTGCCGGCTGGGAACGCTTCCCGGGTTTTTGTGCCCAGGGTCACCGAGTGGCCGTACTGTCTCCAGACCGGCCTTGTCAGCCCAGACTGTGGATGGGCCTTTGCCAACATTTAAACATGGAGAGATCTTTACATTAAAATAAAGACTCTCTTCTCCTTTTGGAAGACTAGAAGTTTAGCCCCCGTGGGTCTGGACCAATGCCGAGCAGATGCCCCCTCCGGACAGAACATGCACGTTCCCCTTCACTGTGTTCCCCCAGCATCATCCTGCTCGCCCGTGCTCCCTCCGGCACTCCCCACCAGCCTCCGTGGTTGTCTGGGTACACCGACACGCCCACCCACTCCTGGGACTGCATGGTCAGCACGTCACCAGCCACTCCTCAGAGCGCCACGTCCAGGCCAGCCGCCAGGGAAACGGCACAGCCCAGTCGCCATCGGTGAAGAGGACCCCTGAACAAAGAGACACAACCTGGCAGGAGGGGGTCACTGAGGGCAGTTCCCAGGGAGCTCGGAGGCTACACTTGCTAGCAGTGGGTGCCAAGGATGCCCGTGCATGGTAACCCATGACAGGTGCTGCCGTCAGGCACCTGCACACGGCCCCGTCCCCAGGCGTGTCTGCGTCCTGCAGAGTCTGGCCGGGAGCGCACGTCACCCCCTCCGCCTCGGGGCCCCACCCCCTCCCAGAGCGCCACACCACACAGCCCCAGCAGCTGGCCGCTGGTGACAGGCGTGTCTCGGACGCCAGGTTCCAGGGAGGCCCGTGAGGACCTCGGCCACGCTCCACGTGCACCACCGGACTTTGACTGCCCAGGCCGGGCACCTACAGCATCATCTCATATTGTTAAATCTGTTCGCATCTGGATTTCTCCTGTTTTTACGTTCCTTTAGCGTAGAGTTCTGGGAGCTGGGTGCACACGGAGATTCCCGTTGCCACAGTGGGAACGCGGATACCCGGCACCCCCTACTCTTACTCTGTGCGTTGCGCCGTCCGCGGCCCCAGCCCGGACGACCGCCGATCCATCCTCCATCACTCTGGCTTTGTTGTTTCTAGGATGGCATGGAAGTGAACAAACCACGTGTTTTCAGTAGGTGGTACCGAGGATTTGATCTGCCGGCCTTTCTCCTAACGCACGTGAAAATGCGTTCACGGCCACGTAAATAATGCTTGTGTTCCCCCACCAGCCACCAAACATTCTAGCACACCTGGACAACCCTGGTGAGCTCAGGGCCCCCTGTGCCCGCTTGCTCTCCTCGTCTGAGGACGCTGCCCGTCCCTCAGGGTTCACGGCTCTGCCCTGGAGCGAACGAGTTGGGGGTTAGGGCCCTCGGCCTCGGGGCATCTGACAGGTTACTCTGTTCTGGGGTCGGCCCAGCTGGAGGCGGGTCTGACATGGTTCCCTGTCCCCCGCCTGGGCCCGGGAGTGCGGAGCTCACTTCTCTGCCTTGGCGGAGGCAGCCATTGCTGATAAGCTCATTCAGCTTTTTAGAAAAAGAATCCTGCTGATTTTTTTTTTTTTTTAATGAATCAAAGAAATTAATTATAGGCTTGGGATTTGTTAGGTTTATTTTTGGAAATCCCTGATCTCAGACATAAATAGCACTTCATTCTATACTAAGGAGCTGGAAAGCTTAATGCCAGAGGAGGGGAGAGGAGGGTGGGGAGATGGGGAGGAGGGGGAAAGGAGGGGCACGGGGGGGGGAGAGGAGGGGGAGGGGCGAGGAAGCGGAGGAGGGGGAGAAGCATGTCTACCGCTGTCCTCCGCGGGTCGAGGGCTGTTCCTGGCCGTCCCTCATTCCCGCACACACATCCATATTAAACCAAAGATCTACTGGACGCTGACTCGGTACCAAGCTCCGTTCCAACTGCTGGGGATGCATCAGGGAAGCAGCAGACGATCCTGCCCTCGTGGAGCTGACATGTTAGCTGGGGACCAGGCAACACACGGAGTTAATAATGCAGCAGATGGGATTCTCCATTTATCATGGAGTAAGGAGCGGAGACAAGGCAGGACTCCATCCATGCAGACGAAATGAGCCACCGCACCGCAGATCCGCAGTCCCCTCTTTTCATGGATTTGGCAAACACTTACTGAGCACCTACTATGTGCCTGATTCTGTGAAAAGCCCTGAGGATGTATCGGGAAGGGAAGCAGAGAGAGAGAAGGCTTGGAGCTTCCCATCCAGTCTGGAGACAGATGAGAAGTAACCAGGGGCTTGCGTACCACGGGGGGCGGTGAGCACCACGCAGAGAGTGCCTCGGGGGGAGGGGGCAGAGCCGACCCTCCACATGTCCCTCCACGGTGCGTGCACCCAGCTATAGACAGTGCAGGCACTCTGGTCACTGAGACAGAGCCCTGCGTCTGCACCAGGATAGGAAGTGTGGTCCGTGAGCGTCTGGGGAAGAGTGTACGTATCAAGCCAGCCAACCTGAGAGCCCGCAGGACAGGAACAGGACAGGAGCGGGGTCAGAAGGGAGCTGCCCTGGGCTGCCCCTTCCCTGCCATGTGTCCGAGGGAGCCCACCCCTCTCCCCAGGGCTCCGGAGACATCCCTGCATGTCTGCAAATGTTGCTGTGTTGCTAACCAAATCCAGCAGAAAGAAATTCCTTTTTATTGCTAGAGCAGTGTTCCTTGGGACTCTGCAATCTAGGGGTGGGCGCCCCCATGAGAAAAATGCATCAGTGGATTGGCAACTGAGCTGCCCCCCAAGTCTGGGCTGTGACACCGCCTCATACTCCAAATTTCAAACGGCTATGGCAAGACGTGCCAACCACAAGGGCCCGAGCTGAACACAGAGCCCAGAACAATCCATGGTTGGCTGGGATCTGAGTGTTTGTAGGGCTTCGCGGCGTGTGTGGTTTCCCACGTCCGGCCAAGGAGGGGACTTGGCCAACAGCCAGGCTGCACAGGATGCCTGGTTTTATCAGACGCTGTTCTCCCACGGAGGTGGGAGGCAGCTCGCCGCCACACACGCGTGTGCATGCGTGTGCCACACACACACACACCCGTGTGCACACCCATGCACACACGCCCCCCCACCCCCACCCCTGACCGTGTGTCCGTGCCTCTGCCATGCAGAGCAAGGTGCGGGAGCTGGAAGAGAAATGCCGGACGCAGAGTGAGCAGTTCCGCCTGCTGTCGCAGGACCTGGAGAGGCTCCGGGAGCACGCGGGGAAGATCGACCTGCTGGGTGGCAGTGCTGGGGCCTCCTTGGACGTCCCCGCGTCCGGCAAGCCTTTCCCGCAGTTCATGAACGGACTCGCCCCTTCCATCGGCAAAGGTGAGTGCCTGCCCCGCCCCTGCGTCGCGTGGTGGAGGAGGGATGGCCAGCGACCCCACAGCGGGGCGAGCCCAGTCCATCTGTCTGAACGCCTGCGCTGGACACCCGGCATCGTGGGGCTCCGGGTGACAGCAGGCCCCCAGCAGCCACTGGGCATGCCCGCAGCACCAGCCCCTGCTCCGAGCACTCGCGGGTGTCAGTCCACGTGCTCTTGGCACGGCCACGTGTGGCAGGTGCCATCCTGGTCCCACTCGGCAGAGAGCAAGACTGAGGCCCTTGCATGGATCACACAGCTCCTGGCAGTGAGCTGGGGAGCTCCCGCCCGGGGCCGCGAGGCACACCGCTGGGCTGTGACCCTCCCTGCCTTCATGCCAAGCAGCCTCCGCGTGGGGACGAGTTCCTGCCGCACGAAAGCCGGGAGGGTCACAGCGGTGAACGCCCACTCACGCTCAGGAGGTGGGGGTGGGGGGCAGCACGGTTTGACCTTGCATGCTGGGGGAGGGATTTTGTCTTTGTATCTGGCTGAAAGACCACCGGGGTCTGCACACGGCCTCACTGCGGAGCTCCTGCCTAGATGCAGAGGGCTGCCTGGGCCGTCAAGGAGCACTTTCCTTGCCCAAGGGCAACCCGCACGAGTCACCCTGGTTGCAAGAATACCCACCTGTTCAAAACTTGTTGTTTTAATTAAGGGGAGATGAGTGTCAGACTCCCCCTTTGGAATTCCATAAAGGAGAGAATTTCCAGATTTCTTCCCCTTATCATCAAAACAGAGGATGAGGTTTCTTCAGTGGTTCGTAATATTACAACGAAGCGACGCTGCCTGTATCTTGATAAATCACCTTTCCCTGCGTGGCTCCCGTCGGCGCCGTCCTTCCTGTCCCTCTCAGCCATTAGCCGGCATGTCACGTGGCTGTGAACAGCAGGGTGGGGGGCGGGAGGTCGGCAAGTCCCTCCGCAGCATCCCGAGCGCATGGTGCACCCAGGCCGGGTCTGGGGCCTGCGGCTGCGATGTCAGCTGGCCGCCGGGCCCCACACGGAATCTCCTCTCGGTGGGTGCAGACACGAGAAGCAAGGGGACAGAGGAATGGCTCGGACAGATGTGTGGGGACAGGGTGACAAGGTAGAAGGTGACCCAAGGCTACGTTAGATCAGGTGGCCTCAGACGCCCGCCTCCAGGAAGTGACATTGGGGCCATGTTGCCCGAAGGCTAAGGAGAGGCAGGATGGTTTCAGCTCTTACTCCGTGAAACGAACGTTCTCAGGGTGGGTGGCCATATAAGTTTGGCCGGTACGCATTTTTCAAGACCCCAACACGTTTGGTGACTCCCAGGACTCAGAGCCATGCTTAGAGCTCTGATGGCGACACGGGACGGCGACACGGTCAGATCCGAAGGGCAGAGACAGGATGCCTGCAGGATCCACACAGGCCACGGGAGCGCCCCGTGCAGGCAGAGTTCCTGCCCAGGGAAGCCGTGGGGGATGCGGCGCCCGGGGTGTAAGGAGGGGCTGGTCGCATGGTGCCTCTGCCTGGCGCACACCAGAGCCCCAGACCACTGGAGAAGACAGGTGCTCGGCACAGACCCCATGGGGCCTGGTCACGCTCCCAACCCGTGCCACTGCGTTCGGGCCCTTGGCCAAGCTGCACGTGGCAGGCAGGCCCTTCTCCCCATGGCATCCTGGCCTGCTGCATGAGCTCCTTTGTGCAGAGTGTAGACGCGTTGAGTGTCCAGAGGGATGGCTCCGGGAAACGGGATACGATTCCTGATGGTGGGAGTGGGCCCTCAGTGAAAGCAAAGCCAGCAGGTGCTCGAGGCACCAAGCCTGTTGCTTGGACCCTGGTGGACCAATAAATAGGTTTGTACCGTGGTTTCCAGGCAGCCATCGGGAAGAGCCGCCATCCCGATGGACCGAGCTCACGTAACGATGCGCGACCTCACCCCGCGAGGGGACCCCATTGGCAGGGCCCATGCACACTTGGCTTTACCCTTGCCGCACCGGCATCGCTGATGGATGCGTGGAGGAGAGCCCGCAGAGCCCCCCGAAGCCCCGCGATCCTCCCGAGTGTGGTCCTCCCGAGGGCATTCTCCAACGGGTGGGCACCCCGGGGGCCTTGGTGGCTGGGCCCCGCTTTCTTCCCCTGGGTGTGAGGGGAACATGGAAGGGCCAGCCTCAGGCAGAGAAGGACTGTGGGCAGATGCGCGGCCCACCCCCTCCACATCCTCCTGCCCAAGACCAGCCTGACCCGGAGGCTGAGGAGAGAGTTGGGGGTTGATTGGGAGCTGCTAAGGGACTGCAGGCTGCGCAGTGGGCCACGTCTGACGTGAGTGCAGGCCCCGCAGTCAAGTCCAGGTCGAATCTCAGGAGAGCAGCGCCCACTGCAGGAGGATTGCCTGGGAGCCAGCGAGGTCGAGGGTGCTGGCGGTTCTGACGGTTTTGCCTCCGCCTCACGCCGGCTCTGAGTGGGACCTGGACCTGGACCAAGGACTGGGCCGCATCAGCCAAATGTGAACACGAGGAGACCCCACTGTGTTCATCTTGCATCCGCTGCGCATCCACGCTGCTCACCCTGGCAGTCATCGGTCAGGATGGGCCAGGTGCTGCTGTGGCGCACCCCGACCTCAGGGGCCGGATCTGCCCCGCGGCGCTTGGGGGACGGGCTGCACTGTCCTCACTCAGGAGCGCTGGAAGGCACAGCCTCTCTCTAGAATGTTCCATCGAAGGGAAAAGGAGGCAGTGGATCACACACCTGCTCACCTCCACTCACAGGGCGCTAGCTGGACCGCCGTGGGTCAGGATTCACACCACCCATGGCCCGGGGCAGGGAGAAGCAGTAATGCTTCGCACCTGCCATTCTGAGGCTTTTGGGTCGCTTTGCACCTGCTGTACACCGAGCACCTGCCCTTGGCAGAGGGGACAGATGGCGGCGACCCGGCAACGCCCCTGCTCTCTGGGATCTGACCCCCCCAGCAAAGCCCCGTGTTTGTTGTGGCACCGAGTCCAATTTGGGGGCGCTCTCTCACAGTTCCCTTAATCAGGCTGAGCCGCGGGGCCCCTGGCGGGTGGGACACTTCCCGCCTTACACTGAATCACGTGGTATTTCCCAGCTGGGACACAGCAGGTCACATCTTCAGGGAGGCGATCCCATGGTGTGACGGCTACAGACAGAGGCTGGACGCGGTGGGGGGAGATTGCGCTCCTGTGTTTCATGTTGGAACCCTAAAAATGCCTGGCCCTTTGGCCACTTCTTGTGTTAGTTAGGACTCTTTCGGTCATAAATGACAGCAAAGCCGACCTAAACTGGTGCGAGCCAGAAGGAACTTACTTGTCGTCAGGATGAGGAGACAGGAGGTCCAGCTCCAGGCACAGCTGGACTCGGGGGCTCGAACCACATCCCCAGGAGGTGGTTCCTCCCCACCTGGTGGCTCCCCTGCTATGAGCGCTCTGATGGGACCAACTTTCCTCCTGGTGGCAATGTGGCTGCAGCGTCACCGAGCCTCCCAGCCTCCCGCATGGCAGCCAGGGAAAGGGAGAGCCTCTCTCTCTACGGCTCCCTTTAATTCCCTGTGGCGGGACCTTCCCTCCCCACGTGACACCGCCATTGCCCCCAAACCATTCTCATGGCCAGGAGTGGGGTCAGGCTCGCCATGGGGACCCAGGACGGGGGTGGGCAGATCCCAACACGGAGCCCCGAGGCTGATGCAGTGAGGGGACAGGCATGCTGGGGGGTCGAAGGACCCGTATGTGCTGTTATTTCATCCGTGTCCTTGTTAAACTGTCTCATGTCGTGGTCAGCTCAGGAGAGCACCGTCCGAAGCCGCACCGTGATCGGGGACTACATCCGGCCCCTCCCACTTGCTGGTGACAGGCCGGCGCCTCCATCTGTCAAGCCCGCCTTTCTGTCGAGATCCGCCAGCCCAAGATGCAGATTTGAATCAGACGTGAGTTCTGGTGTGTGTGCGGCTGGTGGGGATGCCCAAGGCCTCCCACCTTTCTTCCTCATTTGTGGGAGAACCTCCCACAAATTCCCATATCCCGCCTTCACTGATCTTCATGTCACCGTCTCCATGCAGTCTTCCCGGACGTCTCGGCCTTGGAGCCCCGGGCACTGTCGGACAGGCGAGCGCGGGCAGCGGTGTCCGTGTCCTGGGCCTGAGCTCCTGTGAGCAGAGGACACGGTCACTCTCCATCTCCATGTCTTCACAGAAGCCTGGCAGGGCCTGGCACACACGCCTGGTCCACCCAGCGGGTCCCATTCCCTGCGTCGGGGAAGGCCCCACCTCGGGTCCGCTCCTGGCGTGGGGAGACGCGTTCTATATAAATGTCCTCCCGAGTGACCGGGGGCCCATGCTGCGGGAGCCGCTCCGTCTCAGGGCTGGTGTCTCACGGGAGCACCACCATCTGGGGCAGGAAGCTCAGCGGGGCCCAAAGGGTTTCCCATGTGCTCCCGGCACGAAGCGTAACCCAAACACTGTCTGTGTCTTTAACAGATGGATAATGAACGGAATTCCAATACCTCCAAGCAGAGATACTCGGGGAAGGTCCACTTGTGTGTCGCCCGCTATAGGTAAGCACGAAGCTCCGCTCTGCCCCCCTGGGTGTGGGGGGCCCCCCGAGGAGGCTGTGGGTCTGGGAGCGCTCCCCCTGGGCCCTGGCCTGCAGGCACCAGCTCCACCAGGCTTGGGTGGGGGGTCCTGTGGTGTCCACACTCAGTGAGAACGCACAGGCCATGGGCTCTGCACAACTCAGAGACGAGCGCAGAGCCGCTGTGTCCTCCCCAATTCTCGACCTGCTTCGAAGGAAAGCATCCTGACGCCAGATCCTGCTATAGACACAGACGCTCAGGAGTTAGACAGAAACAAGCAGACAGGAAACACTTCGTCCCTCCTGTTCTTCACGCTCAACCACGACCCGGCCTCTCGTCCCAGGTGCCCCGAGTCTGCCTGCGGCACGCTGACACCACCCCCAGCAGAGCCGCAAGCTTCAGGCAGGAGGAAGTGACCTGAGGTTTAGCCAAGCCCTGTACCTTCCACACCCTTTGTTTTCTCCAAGGGGAGCCATTTGTAACAGCTGTTATGCTGATTAGCAGATTATTTTCTGATTAGTGATCCATTCACTTTGCCAATGAAAACCCACTTCTGCTGCTCAGATAACAGAAGGGTTTGGAGTCGCTCCCCCGGGACCACAGCCTTCTCGATTAGGAAGCCAGGCAGCCCCGGGGGCGGGCACACCCTGCTCTGAATGCTGGCTGCACCCCACACGTCCTGCACACTGTCCGTGGGGACGCTGCCCCAGCCCTGGGAGGTGCTGCTGGGCCACAGGGTGCGGGGCCTGGGGGAGGGCTCGGCCTGCCTGTGTCACAGAGAAGGCGGGGCCATCCGGATGCCGAGCTGCGCTCTCCGAGCTGGCTTCCAGGTTCCCGGAGCACATGCCCCTGCCTCCCCCGCCCTGTGCCCTGGGCTTGCCTTCCCTCCGCTGCCCGGGACAGGCCAGGGCTCATTCCGGGGACGGGGCCCCGAGAGCCAGTGCGCCCTGAGGACGCAGTCCATAGCAGCATGAAACCAGGCACAGAGAAGGCAAGAGTGGCGGGCTGGTTTCTGTAGGACGCGGCAGCTGCCAACCACGGCCGGAGCGCACCGCGTCCCCCTTGTCCCGTTCCTCGATGGCGCTGTTGGCGGTCTCCTGGTGATGCTTTGATGTCTGTGTGTTTTAGGCACCCTGCCAGAAAAGCCCAAACCGCAGCAAACTGTGAATAGCACAGAAGCTGGGCCCAGAGAGAACGTGGCAGATCCGAGTTCTCTAAATGTCCTTAGAGTCCCCAACGGGGTGGTTCTGAAGGAGAGGCAGGAGTTTGGGGGGTTTCCTGGGGGCCAAACACCGACATTATTCAACCAGCCTCTGGACAGAAGTTTCTCCAAACTTAGAACAGGAGAAGCCCTGCCCTGGATGTCGCTTCCCGTGGCGGCTGGTATACTCACCTCCCGCCGATGGCCGCCTGCTTGTCCCCACATCTCCTGCCTGCTCCCCAGCCGCCGGCCCAGAACCCCCACCCTCTGTCCAAACAGCTTTGCGGAGACGTCACTCGCTCACGTGGGACACAAGTCACGGCGGAAAGCACGCCGCCATGTCCGGATGCCCGCCACCCTCACCTGTGCCTCGCCCTGCGGCTCTGCCTGCTCCCCCCGCCCCCCCCCCCCCACCTGTGCCTCGCCCTGCGGCTCTGCCTGCTCCCCCGACCCCCCCCCCAGCCCTGCCCTGAAAGCCACCCCCCCCCCCCTGTCTCCAGGTTTCCTGTTGCAGTCATTGCCCCCCCCAACCCCCGCACATGGGTGCCGTGGCAGCGTTGGGGCCTTCCCTCCTTTCTGTCTGCAGATCAGGGCGCACGGGGTGCTTTATCTGTCCGGCCCCCATGCACTCCCTCCGAGTCCAGGGTCCTGCCTGGGGTGGGCTCTCCATTTGCACATGACGGCTGCCCCCCTCGCCCCCCCTGAGCTTGCAAATTCGGTGAGACACCCCGAACTGACCCTTGCCCTCCCTTCTCCCAGCATCAGCCCCCGCCTGCGGACCCGACTCAGTGCGCGTGTCCCCCTCCGCTCATCCTGACCCATGAAGCCTTCAGCCCCATGGCACCTCACTCTTTGTGTCCAGGCAAAGCCCAGTTTCGTCACCTCCTGAGCCACTCCCTGATCCAACGTCCTCACCCCATCTCCTCTGCCAGCCCCATGCACAGGGTGCCCCGAGGGTCTCCATAAAATGCAGGCGTGCTCAAGTCACACCCCACCTTAAAACTCCTGATACCTCCCAGCTCCAGAGATCAAATCCACACCGACGGGGACCCTGCCAGTCGTCATCCGTCAGTGCTCCTGCATTCACCTCCAGCCAGGCTGGCTCTCAGCTCCCGGGAGGGACCTTGCTCCCTTCCCCAGGGCCTTTGCATATGCCACCCCTTTGCCAGACTGTTTCCCCACTTCCTCCACCCCCCCAGGCTTTCACAGTAAACACGCGTCTGTCTGCTTCTGGTGCAGGTGGCCCCTGGCCATTACTGACTTCCAAAAACCACCAGCCCATTGCACAGCATTCCTAGACCCTGGGACCTGGATAGGGAGCGGCAGAGCGACTTGGTGCCGTGAAATCTGCACAGGACGGGGATCAGGGGGCCTAACTCTGCTCCCACCCCCGCCACTTAGGGAGCTTGTGATTTTGGGCCGGCGCCTCATACCTCGCTCTGTGCTTAAAATTGGGAGAAGTAACACTTTCTCTGCTTTCCTTGCTGAGCACATATAAAACCTGTCCCTGACGTATTGGTGAGCCTCCAATGCTGTTGGCGTGTGACCCATCACAGTGTCTCTACTACACATTTTCAGGACGCGGCTGTTACCTTTCACTACCAGGAATGCCATTTTACTTAGTGGAGCCTTTTCTGTTATTTAAAATTAATTTGATAATCCAAAATTCACCTAACATATATTTTCTTTGCAAATTGAGCATGATTGTAAAAAAAATATTCATCCCAATATTTTGAGGACTTGAGAGGGTGGGCACTCTCATACCCTGAGGGGGAGGGGAGGGCAAAACAGTGCCTCCGTGTTTCTGCAGGACATTTTGGCAGTAGGCACCCTGAACGTTAAAAATATCCGTGCCTTTGAGCAAACAAATATGCTTCCTAGAGATTTACCTTTAGGAAGAAATTGTGGAAGTGTGCAAAGATATGTTTAGAAGGATATTTGATGTAACGCTGATCAGATTAACCAAAGGTTAGAAGCAACATCAACGCCCAACGTTGGGACATTGGTTAAGCGGAATGAGTCAGTCTGTTCAGTGAAATACTCCACATCCATTAACAAGGACACGATAGAATATTTCATGAGGCGGAGGGAGGGTCCCGCTCTATGGGAAAGTGTGAAAAATAAGCAGATTACTAAAAAAAATATGTAATATGATTCTACTTCTGCTAAATAATATATACAGGAAGATTATAGGGTGCATGATCTTCTTTTTTGCTTCCTAATCTGAGCACGTGTCGTTGTGGTAGACGCGACAGGTAGGAGCAGAAAGACGGAACTGTCAATGTGTCATCCAGCTCACAGACCCACACGTACACCATCTTGGTCTGGACCCGCGTGGGTGAGCGGGCGTGCAGGCGCAGGGGGGCGGGGGCAGGCGCCGCATTGGCCTCCACGCGGAGCATCTACTCAAGAGAGTCCTTCCTTCCTCCAGCTACAACCCTTTCGATGGGCCCAATGAGAACCCCGAGGCCGAGCTGCCGCTCACGGCGGGGAAGTACCTCTACATCTATGGGGACATGGACGAAGACGGCTTCTACGAAGGTCGGTTGGGGGTGTGGGGCGGTGGGCGCGCCGGGGCGGGCCACCTGCCTGACCTGTTTGCCCGGGGCCCTGACAGACGGGCCAGCCTCCTGGTTACTCCTGACCCTCCGCCCTTCTGATGACGGAGGGGCGTCCTAGCCCCGGCAGACCTTGGACGTCCCTGCAGAGCTCCCCGGGCAGCTGAAGCACACACCCTGGGCTGAGGACCCTCCTGTCCCAGAGGGGCTGTCCTGCCTCTCCTACCTCACTGCACAGCACCCCGGGCTCCCCCAGCCGACCTCCTCCCAGCAGGACGGGTGGTGGCCTCTCCTGGCTCAGGGCGATCCCACCGACCTCTGGCTTCGGCTGTTGTCTGGCCCACGTCCTGCTGGATCCCTCCCCCAGCTTAAAATCGGGAAATGTAATCGCCCCCATCTGGGACGCCTCACCCCTGTCCCCTCATTAGCCTGAGGACGAGCTTGGGGACAGCACCTGCAGCGTCACGAGCTGAGTTGCTCTGGACAGAAGGGTCTTGGTCTCTGCCCGTGATTGCCCTTGAGCAGAAGGACTGGTTCTTTCGAAGCCAGCAGGGTTCTCTGTCATGGCCCCATGGAGCCTGATTCACAGCGGGCTGCAAAGCTCAGGGGTCCACTGTCCATGAGGCAGGGGGAAGCTTCCCTTTGGGTAGAATGGAGAGAGCGCGTCCCCACCTCCGGGCCAGCCTAGGGGACATGCAGTGTGGGGTGGTTGCGTGGTGGGCCTTGCTTATCCCCATCAGCATCGTTCCCATCACCTCCCCTTGTGGGAGTGCCCTGGAGGCGAGCGAGGGTGAACCATCTTGAGACCCACACCCTCCAGAGGACCAGGAGCAGAGTCAGGGTCCCCATTTATTCTGGGAGAATCCAGGGCTAATGGTTTCATGCCCTCCTTGGGTCCATCACATGTCCCCCGAGGCGGGGGCCCCCAGTGTCGGCACCCCCAGGCTTCCCCAGCCTCCTGCCAGGTACTGGGTCCGGGGGGGTCCCTGTCCCACTGGTGCTGGAAGATTGTCCGGACCGTGTCGTCTTGGAGGTTCCTCAAAACACCTCTCGGTTTTTCAGGCCCCTGCAGCTAATAGGCTTTGAGCCCAACTAAAAAGAGAACATTTCACACAACAGGAAGGGGCTCTCCCCGCGGCCGCCCGTCACTGCGAGAGCTAGCTCGATGACATTCTCTGACACTCGACAGTGTGGTCTGGCACCGCATGGATAGTCTCTGCATCACAGTAGATGGCACGCTGGGGACCTCGTTAGGACGTACACGGTGCCTTGCAAGGGGGGAGGGTCACCTTTTAGTTCCTATGCATATGCTCGCCCCAGCAAAGATGATAGGAAGACGGTTATTATTATTTTTTACCTCCAAACCCCTCATGTCATGCATGTTTGTTGGTCTGAGACATTTACTGGGCACCTACTGTGTGCTAGGTGTCCCAGGACAGTTCATGTGATGAACAGAAAGGGGTCCCTGCTCTCATGGGGCATTAGCCCCGTTGGGAGGTTCGTCAATGTCCGTATGCAGATAACTGAACACGGTGGTGTTGGCTCATGATAAGCATTAAAGAGGAGGCTGCCCTGACTGACAGATTCAGGGGTGGCTGGTGGCAAGTCATGAGAGGGGGGTACTGAGGAAGGGACATTTGGGCAGGCTTCTGTAAAGACCTGTGGAATCCTCTGTGGTCCCATTGCTCTCGCAGACGATGGGGCGGGACCTTGGGGACCCCCGACGCGATGGTTGGGTGATCTCACTGTCCTTGTGCCAACAGGTGAACTCCTGGACGGGCAGAGGGGTCTGGTGCCCTCCAACTTTGTGGATTTTGTCCAGGACAGCGAGTCACGACTAGCAAGTACGCTGGGGAAAGAACAGGACCAGAATCTCATCAACCATGCCGGCATCGGCTTGGAGGCGGAGAACATTTTGGACCTCCATGCCCCCACTCACATAGACGCCGGCATCACGGACAATGGTGCGGGGACACTGGGCGTGAACATTGACGAGATCGGAGAAGACATCGTGCCTTACCCTAGAAAAATCACCCTCATCAAGCAACTCGCCCGAAGTGTCATTGTGGCCTGGGAGCCCCCGGCCGTGCCGCCGGGCTGGGGGACCGTGAGCAGTTACAACGTGCTGGTGGACCAGGAGACGCGCGTGAGCCTCATGCTGGGGAGCAGAACCAAGGCCCTCATCGAGAAGCTCAACACAGCAGCCTGTACCTACCGGATCTCTGTGCAGTGCATCACCAGCAGGGGCAGCTCGGACGAGCTGCAGTGCACGCTGCTGGTGGGCAAGGACGTGGTGGTGGCCCCCTCTCACCTGAGGGTGGACAACATCACCCAGATCTCTGCCCAGCTCTCCTGGCTGCCCACCAACAGCAACTACAGCCACGTCATCTTCCTCAACGAGGAGGAGCTCGATGTCGTCAGGGCTGCCAGGTACAAGTACCAGTTCTTCAACCTCAGGCCCAACATGGCCTACAAGGTGAAGGTCCTGGCCAAGCCTCACCAGATGCCGTGGCAGCTGCCCCTGGAGCAACGGGAGAAGAAAGAGGCCTTCGTGGAATTCTCCACGTTGCCCGCAGGTGAGCCCCGTCCTCCCGTGGGGCCCCGAGGGGCAGGGCTGGGGCAAGAGGGCTCAGGCAGGGAAGACGGTACCCAGATGGCACTGTTCTGGAAAGCCCCACGAGGGAGGGAGAGGGAGAGTAGAGGGAGAATACGTGGATTTTGTGTAGGGACCATGTTTTTGAAGATACTTCTTCTCACACTGGCGTCTGCAAGAGGCCCGCCCTGGAAAAGACAGGACACGGTGAGGCCGCTCTCGGGGGCGTAAGGGGACGTCTCCCCCACAGCGTCCCTCCCGCGAGCACGCGCTCGTTGAGTGGAACAGCAAACCACGTGTCCGCACGCCTTCAAAACCATTCTTTCTCTCTCATCGTAAATCACACATGCGGGTGAATTTGTGTAGGGGGGGAGGGTGTGAAATTCTGTTGTAGACGCTTTTCTGGGTTCTGGGTGCATCTGCTATGTAAAATCGTAGGAAATTGTAGCCTGCCGGGTCTGCTCATCTCCGAGTCACCAGACGCCCGGTGCTGCCATGGGGCAACTCCCCCCACCTCCAGAAACTTCCGTGGTGCTGGTCTTGGCTGTGGTGCACCTTCCGAGCAGGCCAGCTGTGCCCAGGTGGGAGCCCAGACACCTGGGGGAAGAGTAGCCTTCTTGGAGCAAAGAAGGTCATTTTTGCAAGAATATTTGAGGGCATAATTTGTTTCCTCTAAAGCCTCTCTTCGTCCTGTGTTACTCACGAGATCCCCCGAAATGCCCATCTTTGCAGCCTCTTTGTTGGACTTCTCTCTGTGCTTAATTCATCCGGCCCTGCCCCACCTCATTTGTCGGTAGTTTTTACAAGCAATTCGTTTCTTCTCCAGGAGCACTTTTACCAGCTGCCTGAAGTCTTCCATCTAACACAAGATGGGCCTCTCAATTTGTGATGGATTCACTTCTATTTCATTGTGTTCTCCAGCATTTGCCAAACCCATAATCAACTAGCGTCTGACCTACAGAGCAGCAATGTCATGGGCAGGTGGGGCGGATGCTACCTTAAGGAGGGAGGGATGTCTCAGGAGCAATGGACTTGTAAAGGGTCAGCACACTTGTCTTCCGTGATGACTTGATTTCCTGACCGGCCACCGCGTCAACTGTGAATACTGGGACAATGAAGACGCTTTGCCCTCATGCCTACTATACAGTCACGTGGTCAGTGCTGGGGGGATCAAGAGATGAGAAACACAAGGCACCGGGCTGGGGGCAGGGCTCGGGAGGGATGAGGAACACATGCATTGGGACCACCAGGACGGGCTTCTGGAGAAGCTCACAGTGAGATGGACAGGATGGGGGGTCCAGGTATGAGCCTAGGGCACGTCCCACAGGGTAGCTCCCCATCCCCGGCGTGTCCCGGTCCGTGTGCACTGCCCGAACACAGTGCAGTCACTCCTCACGGCTCTGGGGGCTGGAAGTCTGAGGCCGAGGCACCGCAGAGTTGGGGTCTGGGGAGGACCTGCATCCTGGTCCACAGACGGGTCTTCTCCCATGTCCTCGCAGGGTAGAGGAGCAGAGGGACGCCTGTGGGGCCTCCTAAATGAGGATACTGATGCCCCTCTGAGCGTTCTGCCGTCATGATGTCAGCCCCTCCCAGAGGTTTCACCTCCTGACACCAGCACCGTGGGAGTTCGGATTTCAGCATGAATTCTGGGTTGGGGATGCAGACTGTGTTCTGATTGTGGTGAGTGCAGTGAGGGGAAGGTCTGGGAGATCCTGCTCTGCGTGGGAGGAAAGGGGTGCTCCCAGACCAGTGTGTTCTGAACTCATCTCAGGTATGACTTGTACTGAGCACGCCCACACGGCGGACATAAGAGCCACCCCCTGCTGGGCTGGAGCTGACAGAAGAGCAGTTCCAAGTCTTCCTTCACCCACAAAACCCTGTCCCTCAACTGTGATTTCACTTTATGTAGAAGCGAGAACTGAGGAAGATCCCAGACTGGTTTCAGCTCTGGACCATTGCTCTTCAGAACAATGAGGCCTGATAGCTTAATCAGCATTCCTTGTTAAGACTGATCGAAGTGCCAGAGCCAGGTGATCAGGGAAACACTAGTGACCCTGAAAGACTTAATGGGGTTTCTGAACACTTACATTAGCTCAGGATGCAACGCTAGCCCTCAGCAAACTCTGGTCTGGTCTGGTCACTCAACAGAAAGGCCGGAATCATGAATTCCAGAGTCCCCTGCCTCTATGAGAAGCCACTCACCCCCAAGGAGAAGGATCAGGTGGGTCCTCAGCAAGCCGATACTAGAAACAGGACATCACAGGTGGGATCACAGTGTCACAGAGCTGCACGTCCCAGGGGCAGCTGTCAGCAGAGGGATGGGCAATGTGTGTGCTTTAGGGTGACATCAGCCATGTGAATTGTTGGGGGCAGGAAATGTGGTGTTTTCAATGGTAGCCATTGTGGTACCTAAATTCTAGGGGTGGAATTTGAAGCTGGCATTCAGAAGTAGATTTCAAATCAGAATTTAAGATGATCTTTAGGGTTTGCAACACTGCATACAGCATCTTCTGAAAAGGACTTCTCCAAAGGGCGTAGACAAACAAGGCACATCATTCCCAGCTGGCAGCCCCAGGATCCTGTGGTCCCTGCAGAGGCCAGGCCTGCCCGCTGGCGGTGGCCAGACTTCCTCCCTCCAGCCTGGGCTAAGCATTGCCGTGTGCATCCCCCACCCTCCCAGTGCCAGGTGAACCGGATACTTGAATGAAGAGAGACGGGCTGGAATTTCTCCTGAGCTCTACTGTCCCCCTGCCTGCTGGGGCTGGCTTGGCAATTGCAGGCCCCGAGACTCAAGGCAGATCACAACCAGAAGCTGTATGCAGAGTGCCCGGCAGCTGCAGGAAGGGCAAGCCACTTCCCAGATGGGACACGAGAGACCTATTAGTAGAATTCTTCAAATCTTCATACCCTTACTGGGTTTTGTCTGCTCAGTCTCTCCAGTTATTGAGAATTATTGTCTATATGTCTATTTTCCTCTTCAGTTTTCTCCTTTTTGCTTTATATATTGTGAAACTCCATTATTAGGCGCATACACATTTATTTATTTTTTTTAAAAGATTTTATTTATTTATTTGACAGAGACCGAGACAGCGAAAGAGGGAACACAAGCAGGGGGAGTGGTAGAGGGAGAAGCAGGCTTCCCACTGAGCAGGGAGCCTGATGCAGGGATCGATCCCAGGACTCTGGGATCATGACCTGAGCTGAAGGCAGACACTTAAGCTTAACGACTGAGCCACCCCGGCGCCCTAGGTGCATACACATTTAAATGGTTAGTTCTTGATGAATTGACCCCTTTCTCATAATGAAATGCCCCTCTTTGTCCTGGTATTACTTCTTGTCTTGAAGTCTGTATTGTCTGACATTCATATGATCACCAGCTTTTTCATGCTGAGTGTTTACATGTTATATCTTTTTCTAACCTTTCAGATTCTTTGTATCTTTATTTTCAGGATGTCTCTTATGAATAGTCAATAGTCGGATCTTGGTGTTATAGAAATCTGACAATTTCTGCCTTTTAATTGGAATTTTTAGTTCCTTTTCTTTTAGTAAAATTACTGATATGACTTGGTTTAAGTCTGCCATATGCTCTTTGTTTTTCATTTATCCTGTTTTTGTCTTTGTTGATCTTTCCCTACCTTTTTGGGGAGAAAGGGAAGGAAGGAGTCAACTAAGTGTATTTTTCTATTCCATTTCCTCCTCTCTTGACATTTTTTGGCTATAACTCTTTGTATTCTTGCTTTAGAGATTGCTGCAGGGAGTAACACATGCATATTTAACTTATCAAAACTGAGCTTACGGGGTGCCTGGGTGGCTCAGCAGGTTAAGTGTCTGCCCTTGGCTCAGATCATGATCCCAGGGTCCTGGGATCGAGCCCTCCCTGCTCAGCAGGGGGATTGATTCTCTCTCCTCCCCACTCATGGTCACTCTCCCTATCTCTGTCACTATCTCTGTCTCTTTCTCAAATAAATAAAGCTTTAAAAAATTAGCTTACATTAATAAGATAATGTATTTACAAGGGAAGAATAGTACCAAGGTATAATTCCATTTATGCTCCTTCATTTTTACTATTGTTTTTATATATTTTACTTCTACATATATTGCGAACCCCTTGATACATTATCTTGCTTTAATTAATTGCTTTTGAAGAACTCGACAAAAATAGTCTTTTATGTTTCCCAATATATCTGCAATTTCCACCAGTTTTTATCCCTTTTTGTAGGTTCATATTTCCACCTGGTATTATTTCCTTCTAGCTCTGAAGACTTTCCTTTAGCATCTCTTTCAGTATTCTTTTGGTTATCTTAAAAAAAAAACCTCATTATTTCACCTTTATTTAAAAATATTTTTTCTCTGGGGGCACCCAGCTGGCTCAGTTGGAGGAGTGTGGAACTCTTGATCTTGGGGTCAGGAGTTTGAGCCCCATGTTGGGTGTAGAGATTACATAAATAAATAAAACTTGAAAAAATATTTTTTCCCTGGATATAGAATTCTAGACTTTTTTTTATTGCAGTACTGTGCAAATGTCATTCCCTTTCTCTTGACCTTCCCTATTTGTATAAGGAGTCAGCTCTCCTGTTGTCCCCTTCATTCTCTGACTTTCAAGATTTATCTCTTTGACTTTGATGGTCAGTAATTTGACTGTAATGTGCCTAGGCTTACTTTTACTTCTACTTATCTTTTTTGAAATTTACTGATATTCCTGGATCTAAGGGTGGTAGTGGTAGTGGTTTTTCTTCAAATTTCAAACTTTGTATCTCCACAGACCTTTTCTACTTTAACTTTCACTTCAGAGAATCTAATTATACATAAGTCAGATTGCTTGCTGTTGTCATACAGATTTATGAACTCCTGTTTATTTTTTTAAGATCATTTTCCTCATTGTGTTTCAGTTGGGATAATTTCTGTTACTCTGTCTTCAAGTGTATTCATTCTTTCTTTTGCAGTGTCCAATCTGCTGTGAAGACTATTAAATGAAATTTTTATTTTGGCCATTGCAGTTTTCAATTCTAGGATTTTCATTTGGTCCTTTTTAAAATTTTCTTATCACTCTTGGAATTCCCATCTCTTCACCTACCACATTTATCTTTACCTATACATTCTTTAACCTACTTGTAATAATTATTTTAGTCTTTGCTGCTTCCAACGTCTGGGTCATCTGTGGGCCCACTTCTACTGACTGTTTTTCCTCTTGATTATGAATCCTATTTTCTCATTTCTTTCCACATCTGGTGACTTTCTTTGTGTATTGGACATTGTAGATTATGCCCTAGAAAGACTCTGGATTCTGTTATCTTCATCAGTAACAGCTGTAACAACACCTCTGCAGAGTATTGAGGTTTAGTCTAGCAGACAGTTATATTTGTGACATATCTAGATCCTGGAGATGCTTGTTTTAGCTTTATTTGAGTAAATATATTTCATTTTTGCCTTCGAATGTGGCCCTTAGTCCTGATGTATGATCCCAACTTCTGTGAGATGGGCCTTCTGTGTCTCCAATGGAAAACTCAAGCTCCTCTAACTTAAAAAGATTTGAACTCCAAATTCTTCCTCTTAGCACTAGGCAGCTACCAGAATCAATGCTGAACTCTATAGCTGTCTAGCTGTTTACTCTCCTTTATGTTGTTTGCATTCCTGCCTGCCCTGCACAGGCACAATTTAGAGGTCACCGAATAGTTTGAGGGGAATGGGCACACAGAGGTTAGGGATCCTCTTGCACTGGGTCTTCACTCTCTGGGACCTCTCTCAATTTCTATCACGTCTGCCGTGATTGAACGCCGACTTCTAACTCCACAATCCAGCAAGGCCACCACTTCCTGCTTGGACTCTATCTCTCGTACAAGTGAGCTGGGCAGTGTCCTAAGGGAGAATAAAAAGGAATTTGGTTAAGTGTCGGATTTGCTATTGTGTTTCCCTCCTTTCAAGGCACAGATCACATGCTGTCCACTTTCCCTCTACCTCATAGTGTGGGATGAATCACACGGGGCATGTTCACGGGAGGCTTTTGGAAATGGCTCAAGGTGCTTCTTTCCACCACGAGGCATGGCTGCTTTTCTCATTGCTGGGTGTTCTTCATCAGCAAAGGAGAGTGACCTGGCTCTGACAAGAGCCACTGATTGCTTTCATCTTATGAATGCTACCAGGCCATGAGGACAGTGTTGAGGAGATAGGGGGACGTGGTACCCCACAGGTCTCCAAGAGCCCTGGCAGCAGTTTAGCTCTGAGTGGATGAGGGCCTATATGATCTGTCCCATACTCTGCGGGGCGAGTCCACCATGGTGACCAATCACAGGGAAGGGAGGCAGACAGCACTCAAGGTTGATGCAGCTAGCAGTGCTTAGGAAGAAACAGCCCTACTCAGAGACAGAAAACAGACTCATCATCACTAAATCCCCAGAGTCTGGTCAAACACAACAACCACCAAAACAAGTGGTCCCCACCAAAAGGATTGTGCTCTCCAGAAAGGTCTTCCACTTCTGATATAGAGGGTGGAGATTTCAGGATCTTTTATGGGAGCGTGAGGAGTCCAGTGCCTTTGGAATCAAGTTGAAACAAATAATAACAATAATTAGCATATAAATGGCACTTACTCTGAGCCCATGCACTGTTATAAGCACTTTATCTACATTTTAGTTCATTTAATCTCATGCTTGATGAAGTTGACTGTATTGATGATTTATTGTATGTTAGAAGCCATGATTTCTCAGAAGCTTGCTCATGATTGGATCTGATGCAGATAGTCCTGATGGGCAGCTCTCTTCCAGTGGTGATTTGGGGACCCAGGCATGTCCATCTCGTAGTTTTGCCATTTCTACTCTGTGGCTTCTGAGGTTGCCTCCAGGGGTCATCTCCTTCCCAACCAGAGGGGGAAGGACCTTATAGGTTCACCTGTGGAGCTTTTGGTGGGCTAGCCTGGACATGGCACCCATCACTTCTGCCCTGTTCCATCAGGAGTCAGCCACAGGGGCCACATCTTACTGAGAGGGAAGTTTAGAAACTGAGCACGGCTGTCTGAGCAGGAGTAAAATAATAATACAGTGATGATGTTTTAGTGAGTACATAGCCGTTGTTGCCAACAGGCTCTGTATCGTGTCTATTTTATAGATAAGGTAACTAAATAAAAGACAGTTGTCCAAGGTCCCACGTCAGTAACTGGCAGATCTGGGGCTTGAACCTGCGCAGGCAGGCTCCAGTGTCCACTTCCTTATCACGTCCTATCCTGCCTCTGATCTGTTTGCATTTCTAGGATGATAGAACTGGTTGTCTTGGTTATAAGGCAAAGGCCTGGTATCCAGCAGTAGCCAAGTCAGTGCTGAGCAGGTGAGTGGATGGGGGAATCATGAAGGAAAGGACTTCTGCTCTTTTGAGTCAGACTCTAAACACCTTTCTTTGGCAATACGTCACCTTTAAATTAACTATCCAGGTAGAATTTCACTTCTGAGCCAGGTTGTGAAGATGTTTTGAAGACTTTTATCATGGCATGTTATTAAGAGTGGAGTCGTTACGTGCCTTTGCAAATGGGCTACAGGGAAGTGTGGGTGTGAATCCTGCTTCCAGCACTGAATAGCTGAGTGACTTCCCTTGAACCTCAATCTCCTCACATGCAAAGTGGGGTTGTGCTGCGATCACAGGCCTGTGTGAGGATCCCGTGGTGGAAAGTACACAGCAAGGAGAAGCATGTGGCCCGCAGAGAATCCTCCGTGGACAGCTGCCCCCCCCAGAAATGCATACCTTGGGGGAGCCCCCCCCCGGCTCCGAGCCTTCCTCCTGGAAGTTATAAATATGTTCTTTTCCAAATGAAATGCCACGTTCAAACAGGAGGATGTGGAAGTGTGCACAGACCTCGAGGAAAGGGTGGTGGGCAGCACGGTTCATCCTGCTGTCCCTGGGAGCCTCCAGATGACCAGGGCCACAGCCACGGCCTCTGTGCCATGCGAACTGGCTGCTCACGACCCACGGCACATGCAGACTGGCCACAGTGCAAGAGAAGTGTTCGCTGGTGCAGCTGGGAAGCCTGTGTGCGGAGCTGGATTTTCAGGGCCAGATGCTGTCCTCAGACCCGTCTCTCTTGGCGCTCAGCTCTGTCCCCTCCCACACGCGGTCCACCCCTACCTTCTCTCAAGTCCATGAACAGACGGAGGGAGGAAAGAGAGCAGCAGCAAGGAGGGGAGAAGGGAGGGAGGAATCTCTCTCTGCCAATCGCTGGGCTCTCCTGCGTGCGTCCTGAGCCAATCCCACCGCCCAGTAATGACGTCCGCGCTCGCGGACTGGGAACAGGGCGCAGGTGGTCGCAGGCGGCGGAACAACGCCCAGGTGAGCTGCGGGCGGCGGTGCAGGCCGGGAGCTGCTGCCCTCCGGCAGCCCTGCCTTCCCATGTGGTGCACGTTCTCGCCCGCTGCCCTGGCCACCCGGCCCAGAGCACGCCTTCCAGGTGAGAGCAGTGAGCTTCGCCGGCCGCTCACCTGCCGGAGGGCTGTGCCCTGAAAGCGCTTTCTGTGCCTCCAGGCCCTCCGGCGCCCCCCCAAGATGTCACTGTCCACGCCGGGGCCACCCCAGCCACCGTCCAGGTCTCCTGGAAGCCGCCTGCCCTGACAACCGCCGGGCTGTCCAATGGGGCCAACGTGTCCGGCTACGGCGTGTATGCAAAAGGGCAGAGGGTGAGTTCTGGTTGGGGGATCGCGCGGGGACTGGCCAGGGACTGGCCTGCACCTGCTCCTGGAAGGGTGAGGCGGGGGGCGGGGGGCATCCCTCTCTTCCCTCTCTCCACCCCCAAGATACACCGGCACGTCCTGAACAGCACCTACAGCGGCGCCCAGGGCCCCCACCCCGGCAGAACACAGCCCCCTTCTCTCCTGTGGCTTCTCCTTTCCAGAATTCTCTCTACCCACCTCCCACGCCACTGCTGCCCTGCCCCGGGCGGTTCCTGTTCTCCCCTCAGTACTGAGAACTCGCCTCTTGACCCCACAAAGTTAGCCCCCTCAGTGGATGACGGTCTCATAAACTCTGCCAGCTGTTGTTGAGAAGATGGTACCACCAGCCAAAGGGGAGGGGGGCCATCTGCACATCAACACACAGCGGGCCTGGCTCCCAGAGACCCTGTGTCCTTAATGCCCACTGTAGGGACCCTGTACCAGCCCCAGCCCCACCCTGACATATGACACACACACGGGGGGAGGCTTGGAGAAGCTCCTGTCCATCCTCCCACCCCCTCCTCTTTCCCCGGAGGAGCCAGGGCTGATACATCAGATGTAAGTGCCGATCTGAGCTCCTCCTGCCTGGTCCCCGGGAGTTGCCGCCTGCAGGGGCATGCTTCCTTGGCTCCCCCTCTTCCCCCCTCCTCCCCAGGACTCCCCTCTGCTCCCCCTCCTCCCCAGGACTCCCCTCTGCTCCCCCTCCTCCCTCCAGACTCCCTCCTGCTCCCCCTCCTCCCCCAGGACTCCCCTCTGCTCCCCCTCCTCCTCCCCCAGGACTCCCCTCTGCTCCCCCTCCTCCTCCCCCAGGACTCCCCTGTGCTCCCCCTCCTCCCCCCAGGACTCCCCCCTGCCCCCCTCCTCCCCAGGTACTCGCCTGCGCTCCCCCTCCTCCCTGGGACTCCCCTGTGCTCCCCCTCCGTAGGGAAGCCTGCAGGCAGGGTATGCCCATGCAGAAAAAGTGTGTCCTTGCTCTATGACAGGAAGTCCATTTTGGCCCCTGCCTGGCCCTTTCTCCCCCCACCCAGCTTTGGCAGTTCATACCTGGTTTCTGATGCCTCTGAGGCCCCTGCATCTATATCTGAATTGGTTCTAGACATGGAAGGAAAGGCGTGGTCCTCACTGGTGCCCAGGAACCTCTGAGAGCTGCACGGGTGGGGTCTGTGGAAGTCCCCGGCCTTTTCCCCCTTCTGAGGCTCTCCAGGCCGGCATGCAGTTGAGCTGGGCATGGACAGGGTCCTGGGCCTGGGAGGCCGTCTGGGGGCTGGCCCCCGTCCAGCAGGGTGCCTGGGGAGAAGCTGCAGGCAGGCGGGCCCCTGTGACAGACATTCTCTGTGTGCAGGTGGCTGAGGTCACCTCCCCCGTGGCGGACAGCATAGCCGTGGAGCTGGTGCGGCTGCGGAGCCTGGAAGCCAAGGCTGTGACCGTGCGGACCCTCTCTGTGCAGGGCGAGTCCACGGACTCTGCCCCTGCTGCCATCCCTCCCGACCTCCTGGTGCCTCCAACCCCCCACCTGAGAACTCCCACACCGAAGCCCTTAGCAAGTGCTGGAGCCCCTGATACCAAAGATGAACACCTGGGTCCCCACGTCGCCATGGACGGGGCCTGGGAGCAGACTGGGGCCCCGGCCCCAGCCCACGGGCACATGCTGGAGCCGCCCAGCCTGCAGGGCTCGGGCCCGGGGAGGCGGTCCCCCTCGCCCAGCCGGATCCTCCCACAGCCGCAGGGCACCCCGGTTTCCACGTCCGTCGCCAAGGCCATGGCCCGGGAAGCCGCGCAGAGAGTGGCCGAGAGCAGCAGGGTAAGGCTGGGCTCCTCACTGGTCAGTGGAGAGGGCTGCTCCAGGCGCTGGCGCCCGGGGGCTGCCTGGCCTGGGGGGGAGGGATGCCGCGCGGCCTCCCTGTGCCAGTGGCCTGCTTTCTTGGCCAGATCCTGATGGGATCAAAATGTATTCTCAGTATGTGCAAATGGACCCACGTACCCAGAGAAACTGTTTCTCGACCAGCCTGGCTCAGCTCCGACAACAGGCTGTGAGCGTGCCACTCCCCAGGCTCTGTCTGTATTGAGGGTCTGAGAAGTGCTTTCTGGAAGTTGGCCTGGGGATCTTCTTCCTGAACGAGGCTCACGTCCTGGTTCTGCATGCTTCAGAGCCGCAGCTGTGTGCATGTGCATACTTTACATGCGTACAGACCTGTTTCCACACACATGTGCACACAGACATACCTACGTGCACGCATAGACAGCCGTGGGCATATACGCATGTCCCTACGTGCAGAAGTGCACATGTATACACACACTTGCATACCTGTTACCCAGGACTGTGCGGGCCACGGGGATATGGTGGCGCCGTATTCCAGACGAGATGTGCAGTGAGACATGACGTAGTAAGAAACACCTATGAAGTGCTGCCCCGTCCAGGCCCGGGAGAGTGGGATCCGGAGCTGGGCTAGACCGTGTGCCCCCCCCCACACCTGCCTGCCTGGGACAAAGCCCCAGTCTCTTCCTCGGGTGTGTTGGTCCACCAGGGTGTCCGGCATGTGTGCTGTGGCCTGTGGTTGGGGCCCTGGCCGAGGCGACAGTGGCGGTCAGCATCCGTCTCGGCTCCGCCCGTCTAGCTGTAGGGTCCCTCCAGGACAGTGAGCCCCGACAGCGTCCTCTCTGAGCTGCAGGTGGAGATATCTGTGCGGACGCCTGGAGGTCCCGAGGGCTGGGTCAGCCTGGCCCTGGGGTGGGGACCAGGTCAGGGAGCCTGAGGAAGGGTGTAGACCCTAATGGTCAGAGCTGGGTCACACAGGCCACGTACAGGACAGTGGGGAGGGACGCACGGTGCAGTGACAGCCATTGGTCCTCCCTAAACACCGGAAACCCCGGCTGTTGTGTGAGCTCTCCCAGCTGGTTCAGTACTGGCCTCAAATACTTAAACAATTAAACACTAATTTGTGACTTCTGACAAGAAGAAGTGGGCCCACCCCCGCTGCGTTGTTTCTCACGAAGCAGAAGCCCGGGCCCAGAACGTTGTGGTGCTTTTGGTGAAGCTCTGTGGGCAGGAAGGGCCTGGCAGGGGAGTGGGCGCCCCTCTGCTCTTTGGGATGGCACCCCTAAGACCCCCAGGCGGGGTCCCGAGAGCTGGCTGGAGCCAGAGCCTGGGGCTGCTCACTCCCCAGCCAGCTTACCTTTTGGAGGGCATGGAGAGAAAGCAAACCTTTGAATGTTATTTTTCAAGAAAGTGTTGATGAGATCAAGAGCCAGGTGGAGAGAGAACTTGCCATCGGTGTCCCTAGGTTTCTTCCAGCAAAGGCAGGAAGTGGTTCTGGTCAGGGACAGGGGCAGCACATCAGAGGCCAGCGCTGGGCCACCAGACACGGGTCCCTGCCCGTGGTGGCTCCCAGGGGGACTGGGGGCTGAGCGAAGCAGAGGCCAAGCCCACAAGACATAGGGGCCTGGAAGCCCCCTGCCCCTCACCAGCCCCTCCTGACCGCTCCTTTCCTTCTCCTTCCAAGTTAGAGAAAAGGAGCATCTTCCTGGAGCGGGGCGGCGGGCAGTACACAAACTCAGATGAGGAGGACAGCTATGACTCCCCGGACATCAAGAGGAGAGGCGCCTCGGTGGATGACTTTCTGAAAGGCTCAGAGCTCGGCAAGCAGGTGAGTGTGGGAGTGGGGTCCCTGTGGGCCTCCCCTGGCCTCAGCCAGAGCTACCGAGTGTGACCTCCTCTGGGGACAGTTCCAGAAGTCCAGATGGGGGGCTCCCACCCTCCCTGACCGTGCTGTGCCAGCACCTGGTCACGGGGATGATTGGGTGGGTCAGGTAAACCTACAGATGACCACCTGGTTAATTTAGGCAGAACCCATCATTTGTTCATCCACCTTCCTTAATCAGACTAATGTTTGTTGGGCATCTGGTATGTGCCAGGCATCACGGGAAAGCCTGAAACGCAGGATCCGCATCCTACACCCAGAGCACGAGCTGTCAGTGCTCCCCTCCCAGCCCAGGCCCCTGCGCCACAGATGTGCTCCGCCTGGCTTGTGGCTCCAGGTTCTGATCACGTGCACTCTAACAGAAGCAGACCTGACTGTCTGGACAAGAGACAGGAAGGGCTGGAGAGTCGGGCAATCCGGGGGTGTCAGGGCACAAAGACACGGCAGACAGCGGGTCACAGGACACCTGCCACACCCGAGAGGCAGGGCAGCGTCATGGCCTCGGGGGCATCAGACTCACACACTCAGGGTCACATCCTGGCCCTGCCGCTGCTCAGCCGTAGCTCTGCAGGCAGGTTGCCCAGCTCCTCCAGCCATCAGACTCTTTGTCTGCAAGATTAGAATAGGTCTACTTGTACTCATTTTAACATAAGACACAGAATACCCACCTAATAATGACAAAGGTGATGAAGACATTTTACCACCCACAATACAGGGAGCCTCAGGAGGACGTTGCCAGACTGATTCTGCTGTCCAGTGTGTCTGGGCTCTGGCTTCTGAATCTTCCATGCTTTTGGCCTTCCTCTTGGTTGCAACGTGGCTGCCATAGCTCCAATAATCACACCATCATGTGACAGCACCCCAAGAAGGAAGGAAGAGATGGATGATAAAAAGAGGGGGCTTGCTTTTCAGGCACTTTTCTCTTAACTGGGAGAAAAGTCTTTTCCAGAAGCTCCATCAGACTTGCTACCTCTCACTGGGCAGACTGGGGCCACGTGTCCAGTACCAAGAGAGGGATAGGATTCCTATCAACGGCTTATCAGTGATGTATTTGGCCAGTGACAGACCCCTGCTTCCATTCCATGAGTTTATTCTGACATCAGTGGGTTGGAATCAGATGAGACCGTATCCTCGTGCAAGGGAGTTTCCTGGACGCCTGGGGAAGACCACCTTAAAACCAGCCTAGTCTTTGTGTATTTAAACTCCCTTGTTTAACTCCTTTGTGTATTGTATGTCTTCTTCTTGGCCACTGAGTGAAAGAATTACAGCTGGAGCCAGGCCCACCCCAAGGCCGCAGAGGCTCAGGCTGAGAACCTTCCTGGCCCCTTCTCCCCACAGGGCATGCAGAGCCTCCTGCCTCCAGCAGGCCTTGAACTTCATGTGGCCAGAAGTGCTTACACGTCTTTATCTGGGCTAGTAATTGAAAACTGGAGTATTTTTAATAAACGTGTCATGGGCTGCTATTAAATTCATTTGTCTTATTGCCCACCAGGAAAATAAACTGTTCAATCAACACCATCTAGCAAAACAGAACGTGGTCATAAATATGAGCTCGCCAGGGTGTGAGGTTTGGGTTGTGGCAACCTTCCGTATTTTTGCTTTAAATACTTGAGATACTGAATGTGGACACTGTGAGTGAGTGTGGTGCCAAGCTGCAGCGGCTGGGCATCGTGGTGCCCGGCCAGGGCTGTCCGTGTCTGTGTGTGCAAGCACAATACCATGCGCACCCTTCATCCTACAGGATGTTTGGACGGAGCCCACACACAGGCTCTGTCAGGTGTCCACGAGCGAGCTGGGCTCAGCGTGAGGCCCACCTGTGTGCGGGGCTCACCTCCTGCCCGGACCAGCTATTCTCCAGACAACACAGGGTGTGCGTGTGTGTTAGATGACACCGTATTTGTAAAAATCTTAAATGCTTTTATGTGGCGCACATACACGCACTTTCCCACCCTCCTGCTCTCTGTTGCACACATGTGGTGTGCCTGAGCCTGTGAAGGTCTCCACCAGTTCCTGCCAGCTCAGAGCTAGCAGACCTTGGCTGGCCATCTGTGCTCTTCTGGCTCCCTGAGCTTGACGGGATGGGGACATCCAGGCCTTCCTCACCACGGATGGGGGCAACTTGCATGCACACACATGCACACACACACGCGCACTCACACGTACACATGCAGACCCACGCACAGATGCGCACTCACACGCACACATGCGCTCTTGCACATATGCATGCACAGACGTGTGCACCACACATGCACACATGTGCACTCATGCACACACGCACACAGACACATGCACTCACATGCACACATGCACACGTATGCGCTCTCATACGCACACATGCACGCAGACGCATGCACTCACATGCACACATGCACACATATGCGCTCTCACGCACACATGCACGCAGACACATGCACTCACATGCACACATGCACACATATGTGCTCTCACACGCACACATGCACTCACATGCACACATGCACACATGTGCACTCACACGCACACATGCACAGAGGTGCACACTCACATGCATGCACACACATGCACATGCACGAGCCTGGGGCTCGCAAGCATGCAGAGCAGGGGAAGGGAGGCAAGGAGGGCCTGGGTGGCCCCCAGACCACGGGCCCCCACAGTGTCCCTTCTCTTGGCCCCCAGCCGCACTCCTGCCACGGTGACGAGTACCATACGGAGAGCAGCCGGGGCTCTGACCTCTCGGACATCATGGAGGAGGACGAGGAGGAGCTCTACTCTGAGATGCAGCTGGAGGACGGCGGCAGGAGGAGACCCAGCGGCACATCCCACAACGCCCTCAAGGTCAGTGGCCCAGGGTCACCGGCTCCTGCCACGTGGCCTGGAGCTCCCCTTCCCTGTCCCTCTGCTGGGGCTGCTGGCGGCTCCGGACGGCCTCGGCCTGCTGTGGGGAGCCCGTGGGTTTGGCTCAGCTTCTTCCTCATTGTTGAGTTTGTGTTCGGAAACTCCTCCCACCTCCTGTCCTGCACTTGGCCCAAAAGTCCAGGAGGAGGGGTTTGGGAGAGCCTGTTTGGCACCCTCGGGCTGCCCAGCTCAGTGCCAGGAATTGAGTGAAGACCCAGAACAGGGAAGACCCCCCCCCCACGGGCCATAAGTGCTGATCGCAGAGCCGGCAGCTGGAGAGTCAGCCTCAGAGCTGCACTAGGGGCTGGGGAGGAGCGGGGCTGGCAGGGATTCTGCATTTACATGCAAGGAAGAAGCTGGGGTGATCGGTGCTCCAGGGGACATGGAAGGCAGAGGGGGGTAGGGTGTCAGGGGCAACATGGGGTCCACACACAGGCCCCTTCGCAGATCCCCCCCCAGAGCCCCACATCCTCTGCCCCCACCTCTGGTGTGGCCGCCGGTGAGGGGCTTCATGGGGAACCTGAGCCTGAGGTCTCTGAAGAGCCAAGTAGGAGGCTTTCCCTCATGTGCGTGCCCACACGCTCCCTGCCTCCTCGGGCCTTCGCTCCCACAGTGGGCCCTGGGGCTGAGCAGTGTGGCCGCCATCCTCCAGCCATTCCCAGCCCCTATGGGGGAGACACACAAAGGGCTGGATGGCTGCTAGGACCCTTGTGGGCTTTGCCAATGAAAAAGGCCACGAAGAGGAAAATTCTGCTGGGGGATAAAGCACCCCACCGTGGAATCTCTCTGGGACATGGGCATGCATTGTGATGGTAGATAGAAGGCAACATCCAGCCCCGGCTGCCAGCTCACTGCCGCCTTGCACAGACAAGACTCCAATGTTCTCCCAGCAGGGGGCCCTGGTAGGGCCTCGGAGATACTCTGTCACCAGGGCACATGCCGGGGTCCTGGGCAGATTCTGCATAGTGTAAGCGCCTGCCGCTCCTGGGGGCTCCTCCCGAGCCTGCTGCCAGCTCCCAAGGCCTCACCGGTTGGCGGGACTCCCAGTAACCTTCCTTGAGGGAGGCAGAGCCCAGGCCTTGCCCGGTCCCGTCTGATGCCCCCCGACTTCCCGCGTTTGCCTGCAGGTGCTCACGGGTGGGCTGGGCAAAGCCTGGATCTGTTTTTCCATGACGCTTCTCTTTCTGATGGAGAAGGCTCCTAGGGTGGCACTTCCTGCAGATAGTTTAGCAAAGAAGCAGAAGTTTGCCTTCTCTCCCTGGGAGGAGGCCTGGAGAGCAGCAAGTTCGGTATAAAAGCCCACAGCCCGGTGCCGCCCCGCCAGCCAGGGGGGCCTCCTGGGGGAGCCCCTGGGAGCTGACAGTGGGCGGAGAGGCTCACTTTGCTTTGCCCACAGTGCTGTTCCATTTTTGTTTTTAAATCAGGAGATTTTATAGGCTGGCCTGGACTTCTGAGTTCTTTAGAAAGTCCGACAGTTTGGGGATCTGGCCTCACGACAGTTCCCTACAGCTGAGCCAGCTTCCCCCAGACCAGCCCTGCCTCGGGAGCCACCAGATTAGACCCCTTCTTCACGCTCACAAACACGCGGGTGTCAGGTTAGCAAAGGGGAGGGGTTGGGTCAGAGGCCAGGGCGCTGGCCCAGGCCCTCACCACCCACACTGAGCTCCTGGGCCCTCTGGAGTAAACGCACCAGGGTCCCCAGCTTGTGGAGCCCCATGCGGGCCCGGGGAGGAAGGGCCTTGTCTGGCGAGGCAGTCTGGGGGCGCTCGCCGCTCAGCTGGCGTGGAGGACGCCCCAGCAGAGAGAACCTGTGCGCGGCGACTTCGGGTGGGGACACAGTGGCTAGGCACCTCCAGCCTGGGGCAGCCCCGGGAGGGCGCTGTGCCAGGCGGGCCCAGGATGGCGGGACGCGGCTCCCCACACACCCCGGGCTAGGATCCAGAGAGCCAGGCCGACCAGGTCCTCTGCAGATACGGACGGAGCTCGGCTGTGCACAGCGCACAGCCCGGAGCCGGAAGGCGCCCAAGCGCCAAGGCCGGGCTGTCACGCACGCGAGTTCAGTCCAGAGCAAAACGCTGCTGGAGGTGGGGAGGGTGGCCGGCAGTGGTGGGCGGGGCCTCCGTGGGGTCCGCCTCCGCCGCACAGACCCCCGCCCCTCCCCTCCCGCTGCCCTCTGAGCTCCGTGGCAGGCCTCCCAGGGCCACGCGCCCCTGGCTGCCCGCTGCCCCCAGCCACGCCCCGCGGCCTGCCTCCCCTGCGCTGGGTGCGCCGCCTGCTCCAGGCTAGGACCCTGGCTCGGCACGCCTCCCCCCCTTGCCCGGCACCAGGCACCATCCGTTAACCTTGTGTTCTCATTTCAGAGCCCGGCCAGAGCATGCCTTTCGCCCCCACGAGTACACGCATGCTTGCTGCCCCTCATGGCCTCTGAGACTAATTCTGTCTATTTTCTTTCCTCCCCCCATGTCACTTTGGTCACACCCCGTGTTAACACACCACCCCCTTAAGGAGTGCTCTCAGAGTAGCAGCACCGAGGGGGCCTTCCTGGAGCGGCCTGAGCACCCCCACCAGACCCAGCATAGTTCGAGGCTGTTCAGTATCCCCGAAGTAGCCGAGGAGGGAGAGCACCTCGAGCTCTTGCACAAACAGGGCTTAGGGTACTCGGCCAGGGTCCAGGCCCGCGATGGGGACAAAGCCTTGCAGGCCTCCTGGCTCCCAGCCGAGCCCCGGGGCCCGGCGGTCGGCCCCCGTGCGGAAGACTTCGCTCTGCAGGACAGAGGCTGTCGGTCCAGCCGTGCGGCCAGCAGGAGCCCGGACAGTGGCCTGGACTGTGGGAGTGAGGAGGAGCTGTGTTTCAGCTTCAGGAGCACGGCCAGGTGCAGCCTGGGCCCTGGGCACTGTCCCTGTAGGAGAAGCCTGAGGCCGCTGCTGGCCCGGCGGCGGACGCTGACCCGGCAGAGCAGCATCAAGGAGGACTTTGGGGAGCAAGTGGACCCCAGCGACGTCCTCAGGAGCCATGACGCCCACCCGAGCCCAGAGAGATCCGCCCCCAGGAAGTATGACTGGGAGGAGCCCCTGGGGCACCAAGGCCCGCGGGATGTCTGCAAGAAAAGCATAAACATGCCCAACAGTAGGGCCACTGCCCCAGAGGCACCCCCCCGGGTGGCAGAAGGCCCTGTGGTGTGTGCAGTCAACTTCTTCTCACATCTGCTTGCCAAACCAATCCATTTTCATTCTTTGCCCTGATTTTTTTTTCTGTTGGTGTCCATCCCTGGGGAGCCTCTCTGCTGGCTGTCTTTCACCTCCATGCATTTTGATTTAAGTCCCATTGCTTCCCGATCTTTGACCATGCTGACGACCCCTTTACTTTGCTTTAGAGTACTGACCCCCACCCCACAGAATCAGCGACGATTATGGCTGCTTTAATTAAAGGACAACTGAATCTAAATTTTAATTAAGGGTTAGCTGAACTATGATGATCCAAAAGTTTGCAACACGTATCTTTTCAAAACGAACCCCCGGGGACCTGTTACAACCACCACCCGCACCGTCAAGGGTGTTTCCTGACTGTGGCTATGGGTTTGGGTTTTGCTGGTGTGTTTGGTCTTCATTCGTAACTGGAAAAAAACAAGGAGGAGCAATTATTGAAGACATCCATTTTTACATGTTGTTTCCAAAGTAGTTTTTTTTTTCCTTCCCCTTTCTTTCCAGGGGGCAGTTTTCAGAATGAATTTTCCATCATCAGCTCTAGACGCATCCCCCTGCCTTGTGTTCCAGGCTTGTTAGTAGTTTGTCCAGAGTAGGGCTCCATTCGGCTTCATTCATCTCTATATTGTGTCCCCTTTCCAGAACATTTGCTCCCACCATGCTGAACTTTTCCATGAAAGCACAGGTGAGCTGCTGGGGGCACCAGGCCTTGGTTCTGAGCCCGTGCGGTCGTGGTCTGTCCACACGAGGGCACCGACCCGGCCCCCACTGAGTCACCTGCCACCTGCGGCCCACCCCCTGTCCCCCACCTGTAACAAGCCATCTACTCACCGGGACTCTCTGACCACCGTTCATTCCCTGTGCCCCTGAGAACTTTCCAACTCCAACTACTTACCAGTGAGCTGGAGGTGTCGCTGTGATTCTCTTGTATGATTCTGACCGTTAGTGCAAATTAGAAGCAAACCCGTCCATAAAGGAAATCCTTCTGAGTCAGCCCTGAAAATTGGTGTCTTCGGATTAGGGCCAAGATGTTGCCGTGAGTTTCAAAGCTGGTAATGCACAGAAACTTCTGTCTTTGAGTTTCTGGTAACCGCATACACAACTGTGCCCAGGCGGGATTTTGGAAGTGCAGACCACCCCCCCACATCCATGAGCACTGCAGGAGGGCAGGCTGTCCTGAGACCAGCTGAGGGTCCTCTGTGCTCAGAGGTGCTGGAGCCGTGACGAGCTGGGTTTGAGCCACTCACTCTGGTTCCAAGAATTTGGCTTTGGCGGCAGGAGCCGCAGAGAGCAGTGCCTCCCAAGGAGACCCTTCTTGCCCCCACTCTCCTCTGTGTATCGAAAAACAACTCTGATGTGGAAGGCAGGGTGGCTGGGGTGAGCAGCCTTTTTCTCTTCCAGGTTATTCAGCTAACCTTTCAGTTAAAAGCTAAGTTTAGTTGCCTTTAGAGCTTCTGCTTCTAAGTTGAATTGATTTGGCTAACTTAATTCTCTTGTTTCCCAAGGCTGGCGAGACTTATGACTGTGTTGTTGTGTCTTCAGATTTTAGGAAACCCGGTGTCTGCAGGACGGGCTGACAGGGTGGATCACGTGGGCCGAAGGTTCCCCCACGGCAGTGCTGGTCCTCCGCGGTCCCGGCCAATGATGGTCCCGTCCATCGGTTAGTGGGCCTGACTGACACCTTTCTCTCTCTTCCGACCCCAGAGCACATGGCTGCTCAATCCTTGATCTGAACGTGTTTACAAACTTACTAGGAGTAGCATTTTCAACCACGTACAGAAAACTCTCCATTACTTATGGCAAAAAGAAGGCAGAAAGAGGCATAAGAGAAATGAAATCTATTTGTAAGGATTCTCAAATATCATATTGGCTTTTTATGTCAATCTTCTCCCTACCGATTTTTTTCTTTCCTGGAGAGGCCTGGAGAGATTGCAGGGTGCTGCTTCTCCATGTCCCGGCTCGTGCTCTCATGAGATGCTCGGGGTCGAAGAACCAGGAATGGCAGCGAAACGGCAAACACCTACATAAGCCTGAGCAACGGAGAGTTCTCTGCACGCATCAAGTGCTTTGGCAGCGGGGCTCGGTGTGACGGGAAACCCCACGAGGCCTGATGTGGCCTCTGGAGCGTGGGCTGCCCTCCTCCCTGGGCTCACCTCCTTGCTCATGAGCCCTCCTCTGGCATTCCGTGCCCATTCCCTTCATTCCTTTTTGGGATTGAGCCAGTCTTGCTGAAAGCTATCATTTCAGTCCCTGTGACCGACCCGGTGGGGAAGGGGGTGGTGGTTGAAGGTTTGCTCGTTCCACTGGAATGAATCGTGGCAAAAACAATTCCAAAAGGTATTCACACAAGATAATGGAACTTGGTAATCAGCCCAAACAAACGGGCCTTTTGTGAAAAGGCACGCACGCGTGAAAACAAGGCAGGCAGAGCTGGGAAGGTGGCAGGTGTACAACAGACTGACCCGGGGCTCCGGGGAGGCAGCTTAGGGCCTCCGGACACCTGCTGCACTCGTCACAGCCACACAGCCTAGGTTTAGGAGACAGTCGCCTCCGTTCACGTCAACTAACAGGACAGACAGATGGGATGACGCAAAACAGATCCTCTAAACTACTGTCCTTCTTCCAGACTTTTCTTCTCTTTAGAGTCCAGACAATGGAGAAAAAAGTTTCCTCTTCTACCTTTACAGTTTTAGGATGTTTTTATTGATCAGTAAAAATGTCATAGAATACTCAAGATCCTTAAAAAAAGAGTCTTCAGTTCACTGAAAAATGACAAAGTATGCAGAGTCCCACTGGTGAACGCTGGTCTCCCATTACGGATCCCCTGGCAGGTTACATCATGCAGAGCCCGGGTAGTTTCGGGGGCTCTAAACCTGGTGCCACATTCACATGATCCATGTGTCACTCCCGAGCCTGAGGGGTGCTCCTGGCATAGAAGGTGCAGGGCTTGGGGGGACTGGCTGTCTTTAGAAACGAGGTGGGGCGGAGCTGGTGTGCGGCCCAGGCTCAGGTCTTCTCTGTTGTGGAAGTGGGTTTCTGAATCTCCTTTGGACTGTTGCTGTCATGCGTGAAGCCCACAGCCTGGCTCATGGCGTGAACTGCAGTGCACGTGGTTGAAGCGTTAGCCGCAAGGGCGCTGGGGCTCTGCAGAGGCTCCATCCCTGGTCTCCTGGGACTCAGAGGGACCGGCTACGGGAGGGGCTGCAAATGGCCTGGTGGGCGCAGAGGCAAAGAGGAGACACGGGCGCCTCCAGGTCTCGCCAGCTGACCCCAACCTCGGGGAGCCTCTGACAGGCCTTTGATTGGGTGTGTCTTACCATAAAGAAATCAAAAGGCTGCATGTGTGTTTTCATCTTAGTAAAACACTAGTTAAATTAGCAAAAAGAGAGTAATGCTAATGTTTTAACCAAAAAGAAGCCTCTTAATGCAACTCAAAAAAGTGCTAAATAATCCATAATGGATTTGGTTTAATTGTACCTGACTTCTTATGTAGCAGTGCAAGAAAGCACAAAAAAGCATGATTAATATCAAATGCTTTGATTCGTACACACACAGACGCACCTATTAGCGTTTCAAAGGACAAAAGTGAAATGTGCTCAGCAGCGGCCAGTGACCCCTGGGAATGGTCAGTGACGTGCAAACAGACTCTTCTCCTCGTCCCAATTTACTTCCATTTTTCTTGTGCAAATATCAGTGATTGTTTTAGGAATCTGCTCCACAACAAAAGCATTCATTTTCTTTTCCAGAGGAACTTAACTCTGTAGACCATATACTCCCTAAATATATTTTTAATTATTATTATTATTATTTGAGAGAGAGAGAGCATGAGCAGGGGAGGGACAGAGGGAGAGAGAATCTGAAGCAGGCTCCATGCCCAGTGCAGAGCCCAACGTGGGGCTCGATCTCACGACCCTGAGATCACGACCGGAGCCAAAATCAAGAGTCAGATATTAACCGACTGAACCATTCGGGCACCCCCCGAATAGATTTTTAAGAAGCAATGCATTCACAATTGAATAAAAATACTGTACCTTTTCATATTCTCTAGGTGTCCTAAACTAAGAAAACAGTGACTTAAAAAGATTTAAAAAGAAGAAAAGTATGTTGGTCTGGATGTAGTAAATTCTCAACCTTACAATCAATGAGGCAGGCCTCCTGACACTGATCCATGACCCGCAGGAGGATGGAATTGGGTGCAGTTTCTCGCTGGATCATGGCTGGTCTTGGTCCACGTGAGGTGCCCCACTCGAGGAGATCCCATTCTGACCAGGGGACTGTGACCTCCCCGGAGGTCCCTTTGACTTAGGTCATGATCTCAGGGTCCTGGGATGGAGTCCAGGATCGGGCTCCCTGCTCAGCGGGGAGCCTGTCTCTCCCTCTGCCCCTCCCCCTGCTTGTGCTCTCTCTCTCTCTCTCTCTCTCTCTCTCAGTCTGACAAATAAATACGTGAAGAATGCATTTGTCACCACTTAAGTATTTAGAGCTAAGTGAGCAGCTCGGTGAAGTACCCCAAACTTTGACTCACATGCAAGTGCTTTTCGGTGACCGGGGTGGGGGTGGGGGGCCGTCCCACCGTCTCTGCTCTGCAGCGGATGGCCTGTCCCACACTCGAGTTCCACGACAGCTGCTGGCTTTTCAAACCCATCTGTGTCGATCTGCATATTGACCACAAATTTATTTTAAAGACAAGTTACTGAGCCTCCACCATCCCATCTTCTAAACCACACTTCCTACAATAGCACACGTCTCTAAGTCCGGGAATCACCTAGCCCTCTGCCTTTGTCCCCACATGCTCCCAGACGAGTACAGTGAGCGGGACCGCCTTTCTCCAGACTTCTACGAAGAGTCGGAGACCGACCCAGGTGCCGAAGAGCTCCCAGCCCGGATCTTTGTGGCGCTTTTTGACTATGACCCCCTCACCATGTCCCCGAATCCAGATGCTGCCGAAGAAGAGCTTCCTTTTAAGGAAGGACAGATCATCAAGGTGGGGGCCGGGCTGGGGGCTGCCGGGCAGGTGGGGCACCCAGGGTAGGGGGGGGTGCTGTCACCGTACTGTAGGTCCTTAGCTTGTCCCAAGGGCAGGCTCGTTCTGTTGCTTTATATATTCAGCCTTCAGACCAGCAGAGAGGAGGGACCTTGTGAGTCTGAAGTAGGAACCTGAGAGAGAGCCTGGCCCTCCGTCTCTCGGAGGAAGCCCTTTGCTATGGACGGCGACACCGCTAGGAGGAGTCTCAAAGTCCCCTCTGTTGGGTGGGATCTCGTCACACACACCCAGCAAAGTGAAGCCAGAGCCCTGATGGGGAGACCAGCGGGTTGTCCAGACCCCGGGGCAGAAGCTGGTTCTCAGGTGTGGCTGCGTGGGTGGAGGGGCAGGTGTGCACGTCTGCAGGGCGCGTGTCGGTGACCACGGGGCTCTTCCCACACATTGTGATGACACGCGGCTCTGCGCCGGCAGAGCTGATGCGCTTGCAACCCGGCAATCATGCTGGCCCTTCGCACCGGCTGCAGGTCTATGGTGACAAAGACGCGGACGGCTTCTACCGTGGGGAGACCTGCGCCCGGCTCGGCCTGATTCCTTGTAACATGGTCTCAGAAATCCAGGCGGACGACGAGGAAATGATGGACCAGCTTCTGAGACAAGGCTTCCTTCCTCTGAACACGCCCGTGGAGAAAATAGGTAAGAGCCTCCGCCGGCTCACCCCTGCACCTGCTGGCAGGGCCGCTTCTGCTTCCCCCGGTGCCCCGCGCCAGCCAGGAGCAGGAGGTGGTGTGGACAGGGTCCAGTCTGGGCCATTCCAGATGGAAAATGAACCCACCCTACAAACCAGGTTGTGATGGTCCTGCGTGCTTTGGGGACATTTATGCACCTAAATATTTACAAAAACATAGATGATTTTCTAATGGAAGATGAAGTGCAGCCCTGCTTACTAAAAGTCTGTCCCATCTAGAAAATAGACTACTTGCTTTCTGGTTGTTTTTGCATGTTGTGTCCCCCTAAAATGTGTAAGTTTATCATGTGACCCCCACGGTGCTGGTGTCAGGAAGCCAAGCCTCTGGGAGGGGCTGACGTCATGACTGCAGAACTCTCAGAGGGGCGTCAGTATCCTCATCCAAGAGGCCCCACAGGCGTCCCTCGCCTCAGACTTCCGGCCCCCAGAGCCGTGAGGAGCGACTGCACTGTGTTCGGGCGGCGCGCACGGACCGGGACACGCCGGGGATGGGCTGGGAGCCTCCGCCCGTGCCCAGTATGGGTCAGAGGTGATGAGGTCGTGCCATGCTTTCCATCCAGGTGGGTGTTGCTCATCCAAAAGGCAGAAAAGATTTTCACGCTTTAATGTGGACGGATGACAGACTCCTCCATTTATCTTGACCCAATTTGCAAGCACCAGTGAGTACACAGCAAAACTACTTTCAGTGAATTTAAACAACATTACATTTATGATCTCTAATTGTGCCCATGTGCAGGGAAAATCTACTCATTACAAAGGCCTTTGCTTTCTCTAAATGGCTGCAGACAGATCCGTTTTATGTCATTTGTGTTTTAGGTTTTAATAGTTCAAAACATTAAGTTAACTTAGTTCTAAATCAGATTTCAGAGACAAAATTCAGTGGCTCAAAGAATATGCATAATTTTAAGGATAATCACAAAATCAAATACACTGTTTCAACCTCTTTGGTATGAATGAACTTACAGTCTGAAGTTGAAACCCACATCTGTTAGTTGAAGCTTCTGTGAATACACCACCCGGGTCAAGTCCGCGAGCCGAAGCTCCCTGAGCCCCGGATACCCCCGACTCCCTTCCCAAGGCCACTGTGATGCGGTCAGGGCGGGTGCGGGCTCTACGCACCACACACCCAGCAAGCCTGCAAGCGCTCCGCTAGAAAACAGTGGCTTGATTCATGTTACCAATTAGATTACATGTCTGTTTGCTTTATTCTTTTTTTCTAAACGTGACTTTTGAAGGAACCAGACTGAGATACCACAGGCCCTTCTAGTGCTACAGAGTAGGACGGTCACTGAGTACGCGCCTCCTGCGGCCGGGGCAGGACCGGGTGTCCACCTCACGGCCCTTTTCCGACACCACGTGCGGTGAGACAGGAGGAAACGGGATGCAGACCGGAACAGAAGACAAACTTTTTCTAGTCACAGATGACATGAAAATCTACTTAGAACATCTCAAAGGATCTAGAACAGAAGTTCCTAGAACTAACGAGTGAGCTTAGCAAAAGCAATTGTTTTTCCAATGTTAACCGTGAAAAATTTGAACTTGACACTTAAAAAGTAATACAATGATGTGACAAAGACATGAGAAAGGAGGGGTTGAATGCACGCACGCTCTGTGTGGGGGAGACCACCAATGGCAAGGAAGGAAATCCAAGGATCCCCAAGTAAACAGACGTCGTGTTCCCGGACTTCAGGCAATGAAGACATCAAACATCCCCAAACTGACCTGCAGATGGACGCACCCCCTGGTCCACGTCCGTGCACATGGGACTCACCCCTCCCCCAGTCCACTTCTGTGCGCATGGGACGCACCCCCGGTCCACGTCAGTGTGCATGGGACTCACCCCTCCCCCTGTCCATGTCTTTGCGCATGGGACACACCCCTGGTCCACGTCCTTGCGCATGGGACTCACCCCTCCCCCTGTCCACATATGTGTGCATGGGATGCACCCCTGGTCCACGTCCGTGCGCATGGGACGCACCACCCCCCGCCCACATCTGTGCGCATGGGACGCACCCCCCTGATCCAAGTCTGTGCAGGGATCCATGTAGATTCGATGCGCTAAATCAAACATGTACGAAAAGGCAAAGGGATTACAATTGCTTGAATGATTTTTTAAAAGCACAGTGGAAGACTCATGCAAGCGGGTTTTACGGCTGGCACACAGGGGAGCGATGGAGACCAGGTGGTGTGGGAGGCTGCAGAGGCACCGGGATCCGTGCAACAGGGTGAATCCAGAAACGGACAAACGCTTGCAGCGTCCACAGAGTTTCAACCCAGGGAGGGGGGCAGTTCAATGGGGAAAGGATGGTCTTTCCGTAATGGGTGCTGGAATCGGGCAAAGAAAAATGAAGCTCGGGCCACACTCCTGCCAAACTCAAAAAATGAACTTAAAATTGAACACGGTCTTAAGTATAAAAACAGACCGTGAAACTTCTAGGAGAAGAACTTCATGGTGAGGAAGCCACGATTTCTTTGACATCACACTAAAACCATGACACAGAAAAGGAAGAAACTGATGTCAGACTTCACTAAAATTGAGTAGTTTCCAAAATTGAGAAACACAGCATGAAAAGATGAGCAAGGCCCCAGGCTGCAGCAAGTATCTGCAAGTGACCCAGCCAAACGGGGAACCGTACTGAGAACACACCGTGCTCAACAACTCAACAACAGGAAAGCAAACCACCAGCGCCACCGTGGGCAAAAGACCCAAGAGATCCTTTGCCACAGAGGATTCGTGGATGGCAAACAAGCAGGTGGAGGGATACATAACAGGATCTGTGGAGTGCCGATTAGAGCGCGATGAGAAGCCAGGATGCCCCTGCTGGGTCGGACGTGGGACCGGAGCTGCGTCCGCTGGAGGCGAACCTGTGTAGCACGACCGCTGTGCCCAACAGGCGGCAGGTCCGTCTCCAGTCGGACACATGGTGACGGCCGACCACCCCTTCCTGGGTCCTCGCCTGGGGGAATGGAGCTTCTGTGCGCTCACACAGCTGCTCGGGCACTCACGGCGGCTGCACTGAGCGTCACTGATCCCCTGGAAAGTGGACCAAGTCACTGATGCTTCAGACAGGGGGATGCTCCTCACCAATAAAAGTAGCACGGCGGACACACGCAGTCACATGGAGGGAGCTCAGGTGCATTGTCCCGGTGAATGAAGCCAGTTTCTAAAACCTGCATGACTCCATTTATAGGATATTCCAGAAAAGGTGAAAGTATGGGGACAGAAAACAGACCAGGGGTTACCACAAAGACATGGGCGGGAGTTTGGGGGCTGAGGGAACTGTCCTCTATTTTGATGACTGCGGGGCTTACGTGACCACGTGAGCTTGCCAACACGGTGGGAAGCGGGCGCTGGACAGAGTGCATCTCTGGGCTCTTCTTAACACCTGCAGGGATTCATTCTTGCACCTCCCCTAGAAAATTAACAACGCTCAGAAGGACTGGATGCACCCCTGCAGGAAGTCTGTGCTCTGTTTCAAGGAAACACACACGCACAGGCCCTGCAAAGGCGCCCTCGCGCTTTCTAAATTACAGCAGCGATGCTGGAGCAGGACCCAAGCATGGCCGATGTCTGGAACTTCGCACACGGCCAGCCCTGCACCTGCGGGACGCCCCGGAAGGGCCCAGGACCGACGTCAATTGCTTTCTAAACACATGCCTTCAATGGTTTTCCTTTGTATGAATCCCAAAAACCAGTTCTAGGCACCGAGCAGCTGTGTTTGGAAGAAAAGCACCAACGCCAGGTCCTCTGGGAGAAACGCACCGTCCTGTGCTGCCCAGAGCCATTTGGAGCTATGATTCCGGAGGATCCCCTGCTTCATCTCAGCCTCCCAGTTGGACGGACACATCGGGGAAGGGAAGCGTCCTCGCTGCTGTAAGGGGGGTACTGGGTCAGAGCAAACATACGAGAACATGCAGCTCAGGGCGACCGGGCCCACAGCTGGAGGCTTCGCTGGTGCTCACACCCCGAGCACGAGGCCCTGGAGAGAGCGGTCGTCGGGTCCTGCTGGCCACGTGTGCCCTGCTGCCCTGGGGACGAGGGAGAGGGGGCGCCACTCCTTTCGGAATAACCACATGATGGCTTTCTTCTTCTCCTTGTGATGTAAACAGAGAGAAGCAGAAGAAGCAGCAGGCATCCGGGGGCGACGCGGAGGGTGGTGGCCCTGTATGATTATGACCCGCGAGAAAGCTCACCTAACATCGACGTGGAGGTACGCACCCGGCGTCGTTCCGCTGCAGCTCACGGCTGGTGCCTGGGCCTCTCCCTGCACGGAGGCCTGGGAGCCATGGGATCTGGAAGGGTCGGTACATGCAGTAAATGGCATGAGGGAGCTGGGCGGGAGGAGACAGGGAAGGCGCGCAGTGGCTGACAAGCCCCATCGCCGTGGCTCGGGGTCCCCGTACGGGACACTACGGGGGGAGCAGTCTGCGATCTTCTGCCTCAGGTGACAGCCCCATGGGGTCGCCTGGAAGACAGAAATAACAGCCCCAAGTGAAAGCAGAACTGTAAGGTCCCCCCCGCACCCCCCCACCCGCAGAAGCTGCCCCCCCGGCCCCCCCCCCTCCACACACGTGGCCTGGGCCGGCGTGGCCCTTGACGCCCTGGGAGGCGGGAAGGGAGTCACCTCCAGAGCTGAGAGGCTCGGTTTTCAGCCCGTGGACCTGCTTTCTCAGACGACAGCTGTGTCCAAATCTGTCACCCACGGTTTTCCTTGTGCTCCACGTGCTCCCAGCTCGTGGTTCAGATTCAGAGTGCGCACTCTGCCAGCATTTCTGCATTGACCCGATTCATAGGGGACGCCTGGTGGCCCAAGAGGTCAGCTTCCTTCCCTCATCTTCACATTCAGAGATTAACCCACATGTTATTCTGTCTTGGGTTTGCACCCTCCACTGGAGTCCATGTGCCCGTCTCAAGGCTGGTGCCTGGCACGGCACAGACACTTTGTAGAGAATGAATAATTGAGTAAAGGTTTTTTGCACTCAGTGAAAGGATAGTTATCTAACGGTCCTTACACTGCAGAGGATTTTTCCCTGAAGTTCTGGGTTTTTCAAGTTAACTCTTTGACCAGTTCTGTTTTATTTTATTTTATTTTTTAAAGATTTTTTATTTATTTATTTGAGAGAGAGACAATGAGAGATAGAGAGCACGAGAGGGAAGAGGGTCAGAGGGAGAAGCAGACTCCCCGCCGAGCAGGGAGCCCGATGCGGGACTCGATCCCGGGACTCCAGGATCGTGACCTGAGCCGAAGGCAGTCGCTTAACCAACTGAGCCACCCAGGCGCCCATGTTTCATTTTTTTTTAAAGATTTTATTTATTTATTTATTTGAGAGTGAGATCGCGCACACAAGCAGGGGGAGCTGCAGAGGGACAGGGAGAAGCAGGCTCCCCGCGGAGCAGGGAGCCCGACGCGGGGCTCGATCCCAGGACCCCGGGGTCATGACCTGAGCCGAAGGCAGACGCTTCACACTGAGCTCCGGCGGGAAGAGCGCGCGGGGCGCTTTGCGGGGAGGTGGGCTGCAGCCTGAGCTGTTCGTCCTCCCTGAGTCCCTGAGGCGCCATGCACGGAGGCACTCGTCGGCTCCTACCCCTCCTCCCTGTTTGAGAGAGCAGGTCAACGCCAGAGTAATGAGAAGAAAGAAATCGTCAGAGCGACCATGAAGAACTTTCTAAGGAAAACCGACTACTCCGTTGTCGGAGGTCTTACTAACTTGACGTTCTGTCCCCACAGGCGGAGCTGACGTTCTGCACCGGAGACATCATTACTGTTTTCGGTGAGATCGATGAAGATGGATTTTATTATGTAAGTTTTTGAAAGATCAAAAAGCACCATTTCATTCATTTTGCACGTCTCTTTCCGCTTGCGTGTTCTTGCCCCTACGATTATGTGTAAGCTTCCTGTGGCTTTCGGGAAGGTCCCTGTCACTGAGGCTCGTCTGATACAGAAAGAGGGGCTGTGAGCGTCTCCATCCCTCTTGCTCTGAGGGGGGCACTTCCGTGTCTGTAAGCTGCGAACAAAGGACATGTGTTCCCATTCTTCGATCTAAAATTGTCTTCCATCCAAACAGGTACCAGTTTAACTCTGGTTATTTACAGGTATATGTTTTTATACGGGAGAAGGAAGGAATACAAATAGGCAGAGTTACTAATTAATCCACCCCAACAGGGTGTAGAACTCCTCCCTGACCTTCCTTGGAGCTGATGGCCATTGGCAGCAGGGACCAGGCTCTGGGCAAGGGCTCCCGGCTCAGTGGCCCAGGGGGCAGCCTCTGTCCTTTACCCTCCCGACTTTTCCTGAGGAAAAGAGAGAATGCCGATGGGCTTCTCGTCATGCTCCTGCCCTGGTGGCCCTCCCACGAGTGCCGCCCTCCTGGGCCTGAGCCCCCAGGGCTGTGAGGGAGACAGCTGGCAGGCCTGCGGGGTGCACGCCCCGGGGGGGGGGCTGGGGGACAGGGCTGCCATCTCGCACAAGGGATCCCGCCTCCCCCGTCACCCCCCCTTTCTTTAATCAGAACGGCCGGGAATCCGTCAGGTCCTGGTAAGGCAGGTTTCTCTGAGTCAGACGAGCTCACAGCCTCAGGCACCGGGAGATCCAGGTTCGCGATCACTGCAGATCGGTGTCAGTGCGGCTGCTCACACTCTGCCCCCCGTCTCTTTCCAGAAGAGACTGTAAAGCGTCTGCGAGTGGGCAGATGCCAGGCTTTCTGTCCTGTCGAGGGTTGGAGAGGGGGCGGGTGAGGGAGGTGGGAGCCCCCGAGGCCAGGGCACAGGCTGCAGGCCGTGCAGGTGGCAGAGGGGCGGACGGAAGCCGGCGTCCGTAGCTCCCAGAGCGCGGGTCGTCAGCTGGGCCGAGAGTGTCGTCCGGGAAGACGCCCACATTCTGCCTCAGGTGACGGGTGCCCTTGGGAACACAGGCATGAGAGCACAGTTGAGAGAAAGATGTGCTTTGGAAAATGCTGAGCTTGAGGGTGTGAACGGGACATCTGAGCCTCTCCATGAAGGAGAGGGGTCCGTGCCGTTGATCCTGGAAGGTGCTAGTGGCCACGTCTGACGCAGCCGCGTGCGGCGGAGGGGGCACCGTGAGGCGGTCCTGTGCGCTTCTGACGTGGCGTTCGCAGGACCGCGCGAGAAGCCCGGCAGAAGGAGGGGACGAGGCAGGTCTGTCCCCCGAGCTCCCCGGTGAGCCCGGACCAGGGGCCCGTCTGCACGGCCGCGGGCGCGGGACTGTCCCGGTGTGCGTGCCCCCACGGGCGCGTGAGGCTGAGGCCGTGCGTTTCCACAGGACCCGGTCCCCAGACCGAGCCACGACTCCACGTGGCGCTCCCCGGGAGGAGCAGGCGTGGCTGGTGCTGGAGGCGGATCTGGCTGACGACTGGGCTCGTAGACTGTGGAGTGGCTGGTGTAGACGGGATTTGTGACCCTCAATGTGGGAGAAACCCCCGGGGGAAATGTGTACAGTAAGCAGCAAAGATGTCCTTGGGAAAGTCTCTAAGGGACACCGAGAGAGACCTTAGCTCCTAGAGGAGGCCGAGGAAGGAGGCGGGGACGGGGGCTCTGGGGTCGAAGAGAGGGCGGGTGGCCAGATCCGGCGCGTGCGTCTCGGGCTCAGAGCGGACTCTTGCTGGGAAGACGTGGGAGGTACCTGGGACCACCTCTTTTTTTATATCAATTTTTATTTTTAATTGTGATAAAATACACATTCCTCATCATCTCTACGTGCACAGTGCGGTGGTGATACATTCGCGTTGTCGTGAAGTCGCCACCGTCCGCCTTCAGGACTCCTCCCCGCTTGCCACCCTGAGACTCCGTCCCCCGTAAACACCAGCCACCCTTACCCCTCACGTCCCCGGCCCCCCACCTCCTCTCCGTCCCCATGAATCCACCTGCCCTCCGGGCCTCACACACGAGGACTTTCCTCACGCCTGCCTTACCGCACTGAGCAGAACGTCGTAGCGCAGGCCACCCTCTCCTTCCTTTTAAGGCCAAAAATGACTCCACGCTGGGTGCACATGGTTTAGTCACCTGTTCGCCCGTCAGTGGACACCCAGCCCCTGTGAGTAATACAGTGATGAACACGGTGTGCAAACACGTCCCTCGGACCCTGCTTCCAAGTCTTTCGGGTTTTGACCCAGGAGTGGAATTGCTGGGTCAAATGGTAACTCTGGGTTTAACTTTTTGAGGAGCCGCTGGATCGTTTTGCCCTCAGCAGCGCCCCACTTCTCATCCCCCTCAGCAGGTGCACGAGGGCTCCAATTCCTCCCTGTTTTCAGCAACATTTTGTCTGTGGTTTTTTTAAATTTTTGTCTGCGTTCTGTAGTAGCCGTCCTAACAGATGTGAGGTGGTATCTGGTGATTCTGGTTTACATTTCCCTAAGATGCTGGTGTTAATTCATGTTGAGCATCTTTCCGTGCACTTGTTGGCCGTCTGTGTGTCTTTTGGGGGGGGGGAGATAGCGATGCAGATCCTCTGCCCATTGTTTAATCGGGTTCTTGTGTTGAGCTCTCGATGTGTTCTGGACACGACCCCTTCTTAGGTAGTTTGCGAACATTCTCCCATCCATCCCGTAGTTTGCGAACATTCTCCCATCCAGCCCGTAGTTTGCGAACATTCTCCCATCCAGCCCGTAGGTTCGCTCTTCACCCTGGTGGTGGTGTCTTTGGCTGCAGTGTCTAATCAGGGAGTAGGCTGCGCATCTCATGCTGTCGTTTCTTAGACTTGAAAACAGAGCAACAGACTCCCATGTAGTCCGGGGCCAGCCAGTCTGGGACTTGGTTTTGGACACTGGTGGGGCAGGTGGGCATTGGGGGCAGTGGGGAGGAAGTGACATGGTGGCCGTGACCCGCTCAGTCCAGATGTCCTGTGGATGGTGACCTTAACTATGTCCCTGCGTAGAGATGTGAGAGAAAGTTCCGGAAGGGAACAGACGGACCTGAAGCAGTATCCTCTCTCGGGAGGTGTCAATGGACACTTTCATGTCCCCCATACTGTTTGCATTTTTATAGTGAGAATGTGGTTGTGCACGAGACGGATGCATAGCTCTGCACCTGGCCTGCACGCTGGACCGCCTGCTGGCCTCGGGAGGGGGTCAGTCTGTCTGGATCGGTGCATCTGCTCAAGGGGTGTCTTTAAAAGCTCCCCAGGGATGCGGAGGTCAGCCGGGGAGGGGTCAAGGGCCGCTACATGGGGTGGTCCCGAGGACTGGTTCCTGGGAGCTGCCTGAGCCCACTGGCCAGAGCACACCTTCCTCAGCTCCACCCCAGACAGGCCAGATGCAGACCTTGGGGACGGGACCCTGCCCCTCAAGCGCATCCCGAGGTCACTGTCCTGATCAGGGTAGTTTGGAGACACTGGAGTCCCTCTGAGTTCTCCCACGTTTGAACCAGAACAGACCCCACAGGCTACCCTCCCCAGAGCTCTGCTCCTGTGGCGAAACAAGAAGGAGGTTTTGGGAAAATCGAGTAATTCGTTCTGCTGTGTTTTTAGGGGGAACTTAACGGGCAGAAAGGCCTTGTGCCTTCAAACTTCCTGGAAGAAGTGCCTGACGACGTGGAAGTCTATCTCTCTGACGCACCGGGCCACTACCCCCGAGACGCGCCGATGCGCTCCAAGGCAAAACGGGTAAGCAGACCCCCAGCACCTCTGACTCCTGCCCCCTCGGCCACGCTCGCTCTCACACAGCCCTCGCGTGGATACGTTTTCATCTTGGGCCGAAAGGCCCATGCCCTGAATTTTTCTCTCTGCCCTTCCCTGGGGGTTGTGCCTGAGCATTCTCACTTTTGCTTATATTTATTTCACAAAACCTGCCCCCTCTCGGTTCTAACCCATCTGCCTTTCCTCACAAAGGGAGTCCCCGCCCTGCCCTGTAGACGCACATTCCAGCTGGGGTGAGAGTGAAGGGGATGGTTCGTTTGCCCTGCTAGGATTTCAGTTCTCTTAGCAAAGACCAGAGACCTCCTCCAGCATAATTAACTAGTAGATGACATTCATGTTTAGTGTCTCATTTTTATTTTATTTCATCACTGCCAGTTTTTATATATTATATTTTTATATATATATATTTTTATTTCTTTGCTCATCTGCTTGGAAACAGAAGAAGAGTGTTCATTTCACACCTTAATCAGGCACTGTAGCCTTCACGTAAGTGAGCAACTGAAGATACCCGTACAGATTTAGCCCCGTCCGCGGCGCTAGGCGGACTAGTGCGGGAGACGCAAGGCTTCACTGTGGGCGTTAAAAACAAAAACAAAAACAAAAAGAAATATGTCTCAAAAAACCACTGGGCCTGAAATAGTAGGCTATTACTCGGTCTCAGTTGTAAAGCAACTGAGTTTGTAGTCAAATCATCATCTTTACTCCTCATTTCCTACTATCTACATTAAGAATATTTCGAAGGCCAACGTTGGGAACATATTTCTTAAGAGGCTAATTGTTTGTTTACGTAGAGAGTGTTGCAGTGTCTCCTCGTAACTAAAGCTGCATATTGCATTGTTAGCCACTCTTGGAAAAAAGCACAACCTAAACCACTATGTTTACTCTAGGAAATTTTCCTCTAAAAACACAGGAGGTTGAGCAGATGAGTAGCGAGCAGGGGGCGATGCAGAGTTGGCTCTGACAGGCCCCCTGCGGGCTTGACCCTGACCAGTCTGTCAGGGTCAGGTCCGTGCCTCTGTCTCGAGAGAGCGCAGGCTCCCTCCTCAAAGCACAAGCCCGCGTCCCGAGCGCCGGCCTTTGCGGCCGGGCCAACCGTGGGGCACCAGTGCAGTCCTAGGCGTGACGAGCCATGCGGCTACAGTGATGGCATTGGATGGAGTAGACGGTATCTTCAGCTGTGCTTGGGATGCTTTACTAGGTGTCTTCCATTGGAAATAGACCTTGATTCTAAATCCAAGCAAGCTTGAAGCCCTTGGCTCCTCTCCTGTACCTGCTGGCTACCGAACACTCGAGTGAGGCAGGGCTTTGCATGGAGAGGTGGGGGCGCAGGACAGGGCGCCGGGCCCTCAGGCGCGCATCCGAGCCGCCGGGCGAGCCCCGTAGACCGAGTGTGGGCAGAAATTCACGTCCGGCCCCTGGGGAGTAACGGAAGCACGCAGTAAGGGCCTTTAAGCTTCCTTTGATTGCAATTGAGGTTCATTTTAGTTTTTTTTTCTTTCAACTGGTGTGTGCCATCGCTCTAGCCTACTAACTTCCCCAGGAATGCACACGGCAAGATCAGCACTTCCTCTACCCCAGCCGCTTTCAGACCCAACAAGTCCCCTTTAAGAACCTTTGCTTTTAAGAGTACTGACGGGCACTCGGCCAATTTCGCGTAACCTAATTTAAAGTGACTTCTCCCCACCCTGCCCCCACCCCTCCGCTTGGGCTCTTAATTTACAAAGCAAATTATTACCTAGCCTTGTCTGGCCAAAGCAATGGCCTCCCCCTCCCCTGAAGACAAAGAAACCGCAGACCAAACGTGGATGGCTAGACCCCCCGCCTCGTAGGGCCGCTGTGGGGTGGGGGGGGGCGCGCGCGCGCTCGTGGCATCCTTTAACCCCCGAAGGAAGACACGAGCCACCCCTTACCTTTCCTGGCGGGGGACGGGGCCGTGCGGTGTTACCAGCGGATGGATGTTGTTGGCGCTCACGCACTCAATAAACTGTCACACTGTACCTACTAGGTTCCTCCTGAGGGTTCAGGTACAGCAAGGAGAGCGCCATCCCCCACAGCCCATCTCCATTCGGGGTCACCTCCGTCATCTATGGGTACTGGTAGTCCTGGGAGAGGCAGGGAAATGTCCTCGAAAAAGAAAAAGGGGCTGCTTTCCAAAGGCAAGAAACTGCTGAAAAAGCTGGGTGCAGTGAAATGACCATGTGCTTCTGGACGACTCCCCAATCCATGTCATTCTCTTTGATTCCAAACTAGGGCTTTCAATGACTCAAGTACTTCCTAAAAACACACTCTTCTCCCCTGACACCAGGAGAGAAGTGCTCTTTGCACTGCCGCCCACTTTAAGCCAACGGCGAGGACAAAGAGCGGCTGGTGCCCCCTCCCAGCCTCCGTGCCAACCGCTCTGGCCCGCGGCCTGACGGGAGGCGGGCTCTCCCAAGCACCCAGGGGCCAGGGGCTCGCTCCCCACCCGGGGTCCCAGCCTCTGTGCATTTGTCATCCGCCCTTAAAGCAATGGTTTCCACCTCAACCCCTTCTCAAAATGCTTGCCTCATGATGCATCACTCTCTTTAACTCTGGTCTTAAAGTTCCTAGTTTAACCGCCTTGATGTTCTGCCTTATAAACGCACAATGGTCTGTACTGTCTAATAAAAACTACCGTGTAACTTTGTACGTGTCGTGCATTCAGTGCTCCTCACCCTCACACACACAGCGCTCTGAAGTCATTCGTGCAGGCCGTGCATTTTGACGCCCTGGCTTTTCGCCTTTCCGCAGCGAGCCGGGCAACACACAGAAAATGTTTACTTACTCAGATCATTCAGAAAAAAAGAGTGAGAAAGTCACTTTGTTTGGAGAAGTTACTGCTCCTCCAACCCGCCAGAAAGCTGAGAACCGCTCATGGCTTCCAGCGTCCCCTTCGGTGGCGTATGGATGTCCGCCACTTCCATTATTTGTCCCACGCCACCCACAGCCGGCCCGCGGCGCGCAGCACGCAGGAAGCGGCCCCCCGAGGCACACGCCACACCCACACCCTCCTAAGCTCAGCCCGTCCACACGGCTCCACACCAGGCTCCCCCATGGGCCCTCGAACAAGAGACTCACAGAGCTGCCGGCTGGTGTATCGGATTGCTTACTATTTTGTAATTCTTGTCCACTTGTAAATTGTTTTTACTCTTTATACATACTTTTCAGACTGCCTTTCTTTTGTAATTTACGGAAGGTTTATAAATGAATGACCAAGCTTTTCCCATTGTGTCTTCAAAAACTCTCTTGTAAATTGTAATATATTAGTGTGTGGTACATTTATTAAAAAGAAATTCGTCCGTGTGTGGTTCAGTACTGTGTGTGCGTGCATGTGTACGGTCAGTGTAAGATATTTTATAGAAATAAAATTTGTTATTTTATACAATGCCGTTTCTTCTGTATCTTGGTTTGAAACACTTTTGACCAGAGCGGCCTCTCGGGATTCCTTTCTCCCGTGTGCACCAGGAAACTCGATGGCCCTGCCTTTGCCGGCACTCCCCGTTTCTCCGCAGTGGTTGTGACCAGCGCTCAGGAGTCGGTCACCAACTGCCGTCACCTCGTGCTGCTGGCGACAGCTGGTGGCAGCCCGCTCCGGCGGACGGAGCCAGTGTTCCTTGGGCCTGAGGAGCACTCACAGACAGACAGCCGGGGCCTGGGGGGCGAATCGAACCGTATTTGTCCTATTTCGCACTGGCCCCTTTACAATTCAGGTGCCGCGCATGACCTCGTGCCTGGGTGCGCTCTGAACCGGCCAAACCCACGCGGCCGGGGCGGAAGGTCAGGGGGCACAGAGTTTCAGTTAGGCAAGATGAATAAACTGATGCACTAATGTAAAAAAAAAAAAAAAATGCTAGATCAAACGGAAAGTCTTACGAAAAAATAAATTCCAGCTGAAGAAATACTGACGCAAGAAATTACGGTGCACACGACAGTGTGAATGCCCTTTATGCCACCGCATGTTTAAAGATGGTTGAAATGGTACATTTTCTTATGTAAACTTTACCACAGTAAAAAAAAATCTCAAAAAAAAAAAAAAAAAAGATAGCGAAGGTAGCCAGGACTAATGTTTCTCTAACTCTTTTGAAAATATTTACAAATTTCCCAAAATATGGAGGCAGACCCAAACGCAGGCAAACCCGCAGCAATAATGAGGGGCTTAGCTTTGGTGAATACTACTGAACACTCGCACAGTACATGATGCCAACTGTATACAGTTCTAGAGAGGAGAAAACTGCCCCAACTCCTGGGGCCAGCAGGGTCTGCAGCAAAACTAGACAAAGACATTACAAGAAATCCACAGACCAAGAGCACCATGAATTTTAAAAAAAATCCTTAATGAAATATTAGCAGATAAAAAAAAGCAATATATAAAATGGATGACTGATCCACTATGCCCAGCTGTAGCTCATCCCAGGAATGAAGGCTGCCTGAACTTTCTGAGAAAAAATCAACACACTTTACTGTACCAATAGAACAGAAGACAAAAGCTGTCTTTTGATGCAGCAAAAGCATTGGACAAAATTCGATCCCTATTCAGGAAACTAGGAAAAGAAAGGAATTTATCTCAACTTGATAGGATTAGCAGCCAGCACCGTACTTAATGGTGAAAGACTGACCGCATCCCTCTTTTCATCCAAACCGAGCCAAGGACATCCACTTGACCAGTTGTGTTCAACATCGCACACACCACTCCTAAAACACCAGCCCAGTGAGGAAAGAGAAGTCATACACTTTGGAAAGGAAGAAGTAAAACAGTCTTTGCAGATGACATGATTTTGTATTTGGAAAATGCTAAGACAGCGACAAAATGCTGCTGGGACTAAGAAGTGGATTTGGCAAGGTGATAGGCTACAAGGTCAACATACACAAATCATTGGTATTTCTACAAACTAGCAGGGAACAATTAGAACAGAAATTAAAATACAAATATAAATGGTATAATAAGTAAAAATATAGGTAATTAGTTATATTAGCATCAAAACCACAACATACTTAGGGATAAGTTTAACAAAATATGAGCAAAACCTGTATGCTGAAATTTATAAAACATTGCTTAGAAATAAAAGGGCTCTTAAATAGAGATACAGAATATGTTCATGGTTTAGAAGATGTAGTAGTGTTAAATTTCCGATTTTCCCCCAAGTAGATCTATTGATTCAGTGAGATGCCAGTAAAAATCCCAACAGACTTTTGCTAGAAATTGATGAGCTGATTTAAAAAATGATGCGGAAATGCAAATGATCTACGATCACCAAGACGGTTTTGAAAAAGATGAACAAAGTCAAAAGACTCCCAATTGCCTGATTTTGAGACTTGTAAGGCCACAGTTACCAAGACAGTGTTGTTTTAGTGTAAAATGTGGACATTTAAGTCACTGGAACAAACTAGAGAATCCAGAAGTAGATGCATACATACATGGCACGTTCATTTAAAGCAAAGGGGCCAAGGTAGTTCAGTAGGGGAAAGAAATGTGGTGTTTTCTGGAAATGTTGCGGAAAGAGCTAATTATTTATGGGAGAAAACTGACGCTTATCTCACATGGCACACAAAAATTCAAACAGATCACAGTTCTAAA